GTACCACATATTGTTGGCACCTGACCTCCATACCTGGACGAGTTACCGAGCGGTGAGACAACTAGCCAGAAATCATGGGCGCTATCTCTGAGCAGTCCTGTGAGTCGGTCAAGGATAAGACACCCATTTTCATCGCAAATCACAGATCGTTCGGGTATAGGGTCGGATATCTGGACTGGATGAGAGCATTTAGCTCAAAAGAGTGCAAACATATTTTCCTTGTCTTCTGGTCTCAGAAACCTTCTTCAGGTGATTGCCGTCTCAGTGGGCTCCCTTTTGAAAACGCAGCTGCAAAGTCTTCTCTCAAATCGAACCACTATCGAGGATTCACAGCTCAGTTTTCTCGATGAAGACGAAATGGTCCGTTCGATTTTCCTATAAAATCTGATACTTTCAATATCTCCCTTTCAGAATCATGAGTTCTCAATATTCGACCTGGGATCACGGATGGCGAATTTCTGTTCAGTTTTCGGCAAATTCCCTTTGACGTGGTTGCTACCTGTTTATACGACACCTGGTGATGGTGTCAATTACAACTATGTGGTTCGTTGTGGTAGAGAATTTGCAGCTCCAACGCCCCCTCCACGGAAGAAACGCTTTTGGAAACTGTGCTGAATCTATCAAAGTTACCCATACGTCCAAATGCTGTTTACTTCTCGTCAGCAACATTAAATTGTTTTCTGATCTTAGTGTTCTTTCACAGAAGAGAAGTCAGATGATAAAAAGATTTTATTCGTGACCGAACTTTCATGAAATCGACGTTGGATCCACTCCAGATATGAAGGACACTTCCGGCAATGTCTTGTCGATGTGCTGAAATTATGAACTTACAGATAGAATCGTAGATTGTGGAAGGTCATTAACTGTTTTTTCACACCCTCCACCACACCAAGCTAGGTAGCAGCTTGAAAGACTTACCCATAGTGGATAGAGCAGTTGTATTTCCAACCAGCATGGTGTCGACGTCACATCCTGCCGAGGATAGTCCGGTCCCCATCCTGGAAATCAAGGGATCATTCTTACGAAACATCTGAGGTAAAGTAGCCTCAGCCAAGTGAATACTGCAATTCTGGATGCAGCATCGGAATCACCATGTCTCATCCTCCCACAAACGAATTTAATCCTGAGGTACTTGAAATCGAATTCGTTTTATAGGGTAGAGTGCAGCCGCCAACGTTTCTATGGTCAGATGCCCAAACTGTGCTACTCTTCCCGATACAACTACTTACTGAGCAGTCTGGCATTCAACAAAGCTCAACTAATAACATTATTACATATTACATTTTCGTACCTATTCGAAGTAGATAACAACCGAATTTTAGGCGATGTTGCTTTTTCAAACTATACCATCTTACCTTTGACAAAGGACAATCGTATGAAGCAGACTTTCTGCAGGGCGTGCAGCTCCTCGGCTCCTCTCATTTTTGCGTTATGTAGCATCTTAAATACATCGAATCCCAAAGTGTGCCACAGCTAAGAAGTTTGGATAGGGTTACCTGTAAGAATACGATGTTGCTGAACACACAGACAGCGGCACTATGAGCAGGAACACGGCAGACAGTGGACTGATCCTGATGCATGTTGTAGTTAAGATTCCGCGACTGTACGAAGATCGAGGATTCGGAGAGATTCCGTATGTAGAGATCATAGTCGCTCGAATACATCAGGCTAATTCCTGAAAAATGATAAGTTGGAGATACCATGAATTCCCAGATGGTTCCGGGTATAGCCAGTGATCCCTCGGTCTATTACCCGGTTCTCTCTCCAGCTTCATCAAACTGAGAACTAGCCAAGCACATGATAGAGTGACTAGGGTTGAGAAATCTAGACTTGACCCAACACCAAATATAACTACAGCCCCGAATAAGCTGAGAAGATTGGTGAATGGAGCTTCTTAAGCTTACCTTTTCCTATGTGCCTTCGGGTGTTTTCGATCGTTGGGTTTCGATTGACATTCGACAAAAGGCCCAGACAAATGCGTTCATCGGAATTCGGGTCCGTAAAACCATCCACTATTAACTCGTTTTTATATACCTAAAATGAACGTGTCTTAGAAGTTATATAGCAAACGCAAATAAACAAACACAGCGTGGGAATATCCCAGTAACAAAGGGATATATATCATAGGAACTGATACTAGCAATAGCCAGTCAGTATAGGGGGTCCTCTAGAAGGTCAGTAGACGTCAATCCCCTGGAATTTGTCCAGTCCAAGAAAAATTGAGGGAAGTAAGCACTTGGCTACATACAAACTAAGTAGTTGGATCGGCTAATTTTTGGACGCGCTTCTTCTCAAACTCTATTTATATCCTTCTGAAGGCAAGGCTTTCACACTGGCAGCGAAAGAAGCTATTCCCCAGCCATAAGAACTGAATGGGGAATTTCTACAACCTGACATACCTTGAAATATTCACCAACTCTGCTGTTTAATTCATAATACGATATGGTTGCCCAGTACTGTGTAGGAGGTGTGGTGTATGGACTGACCTGAAAAAAAAAGCAAAAACACCTTGTCCCGGTAATTAGTGTTCACCCAATCACTTTTTCATGGCAGCTTACTTTGTCGTCATCGGTTGTTTGTCAGCTCACCAGAAAACAGTCCAGGAAGGAATTTTATTGTTATTTTCCGCTATGCTCCTCACCTAAGTCTTACGGGAGCCCTCTTTCCTGATCTTGTCACTAATCGTAGTTCTCTGACCGTCTGCGCTCTGGCCCACGCTGCAGCCGCAAGGCAGAGTGCAAAGAGCAAGATTGGCTCCTTTCAGGCTTCAACGACCGTCCGACCGACCAACGGCCACATGGTGACAGCACTGGACACGCTGAGTTCATCTGGTCACTGTTGTTCCCACGTGGTCAGCGAGAGCCGTCGGTCGGTCGGTCTTTGAGGTCTGAAAGCAGTCAATGCAGGGAAAGTAACAGTCCCATGATCAAAACAGAACAACCCCACTACAGCAATCGATCTTTCATCCTTATCTCGACTGCTCTATTTCTTGGTTCACACCCGTTGGGGGATCATAAAGGTGGGTTCACCAATAATCGATGCTTTTGTTCGTAGTGTAAGAGGAGACGTACTATAAACGTAACTACCACTCAAAATGAAATTCTAATTTCCCTGTAATCTGTCTAAGAAAGCTGAATCAAAGAACTTCATTACCTGCTCCATTCTCGCTCCATCCTCTTCCGATAACATTGACGATGGGCTGAAAGCCATGTCGTATTCGGGTGAACTGGATGAGGAGGGGACGTTCGACGGTGACGTTATGTCCAGCCGTCCTGAGCATGACGGTGAAGAGCCGGCTGTTGACACTGAATCAGAAAAGATCACCATTAGGAAAAGATTTGCCAGGGGGAAAAGGCAAAGGGAGGTAAGTATGTCGAACCAGCAGGGGACGAAATTGGTGGCGAATAACTGAAGCGGGCGCCCTGAAAAGAGCAAAAGATGTCGTCAATGGTTCGGGGCTAAAATTTCTTCAGACTCTTACCCGAGTCGGATCAAGACGTTGGTAGTGGTACGGATTGATACAGACGTATGGAGTTTTGTTGTTGTGATCATGTGGATAGAGGCATTCGGGGATTGGTCTCAGCTCCTGATGGGACTGTAAATCTGGCCAACGCCATACGCGGCAGTAAATCACATGGGGTAAACCTTTCCGATGTGAAACCTGCAACGAACCCGTCCTTTTCAGAAAAAAAANNNAAAAAAAACCCAATCTAGAGCTCCTGCAATCTACCTGCAACCTTCCGTCTTGACTTTTTGGTAGGGCTACGCATTTCGAATGAGATCCTGGATGAGCCAAAGCGTATTCCAAGTCCTCCAATGTTCCTGAAAGGAGCTAGGCTACACTGCTATTACTTACGTAAGGCAACCATCGAAACCCACCAACTCCTCCGTTTTTCTTTTTGAGCTTTTTCACCAACGTTTCTACCGCCTTTTCAGCAAACTTCTCTTCTTCTTCACCAATACGCCATCCCAATAACTTCTTGACTGATGTGCCATTGAATAGCCCATTCATCTACAGATAGGATTTGAAGAAGAAACTGTGTCATTAATTACGTAAGGAACCAATTACGAGAGGTTGATTCAACGAAAACAAATCGAGAAATCAATGACGAGTATCTCTGCTAAAGAGTGGCACATAAGATAAGAAAAAGGAGGCGATTGATCGATAATCATTCCGTGTTTTCTTTTCTTTTTTCTTCTTCCTCCCATGGGCCTGTGTGTTGCAACGGTTGACGGGGTCTTTACCTCTTGACCGTCATTCCTAATCCGAGGTTTAGACCCCGGAGTCATGCTAGCCTTTCCAGAGTCAGCCACTGCTTCCCTCTTTCCTTTCCGATACCAGACTTGCATATAACACCGATAGGAGCATCGAGGAACATATTAACAGACCTATTTGTAAATATCACTCAGTACAAGGATTTAGGTACTTCCGCAATTTACAAACAGTTAAGTAGTGTTAGTCATTAGTTGCCATAAGTTAAGGCTAAAGTTTCTTGGCATTGATCATTCCAGTTCGAGAATGCGCCAAAACATTCGCTTTCCATTCAGAACGTGACTGCGATTGATGCGTATCTGTCAGATATAACGACGTGAATCTCGGACTTCAACCTCAGTCGTAAATATGAATAGTTCCACTTGGTGCTCTGCTACCCTGCCTAATCTACGGTAATAGTTGGAATGAAGCGATGGCACACTGATAAATCAACAGATGGAATTTCGAAAGAGCAGCTCACATGGTGCCCAACCAGCCTGATTTCTTGAGCCGATAGTTTACCTGAGGTTTTCATTACGACTATGATTAAAAACCTATTAGTCTCCGAAACAACCATGAAGAATGATATCATTTCATCAGCAAGTACAAAAAAGGTCTATCACCATTCCGACTGTAATGTTTGGTCCCCTGTGTCGGAACTGTCCAGATCGAGCCGAGACTTCAACTTCACTTTAGAGGACATGAATTTCTTCAAGTAGCCTCACGAATATCCCTTTCAACTCAAAGAATGACACCACAAAGAAAATGCAAAAATCAGAACATCTATGAGTAGTTACAAAATAGGTGAAAAGCCACAGATCGCATCTAAGCTACTAAAGTGTAGTAGAAATTATAAAAAAAAAAGTTCTGCATGAACAGAGCTAATGTACATCAGTACGTAGTGGTGTTAGTCTTATCAGAAATGGGGTGAGCAGAGGTTTTTGCAATACTCAGAATCAGAACAGCCAGCAACGGAATGCATTTGACAGAGTGCTACTACGTCGTCCTCAGCTGATAATAACTGCACTGACTCAGCATTGCCCTGCTGACTTCCGCCGGTTGGGTTTATCTTTCAGCGACTAAAACAACAAAATTGTCTGCTGCTTCAGAGCAAACAGCTAGTGAATCGACTCTGTGTACATCGGTACCTCTGAAGATAATGGTGGGGAAGCAATACGGAAAAGAGTGGGGGAAGGAGGAAAGAGAGAGGGGTTCTGTTTTCTGACCAATCACGATTCGAATAGAAAACAACCAATAAAGATTTAGTGGTGCTCCGATCCTTATCTCCGCTGATGGGCGGGATAAGTGAGGCAAGGGGTGGAGAGAGTGTTGACGCACCATTGAGACCTCTTATGGCCTATCTTTCATAGAGCAAAACAAAGACATCCTTTGCTGGTAAACCTGAGTGTACCCACCCATCAGAATTCTACATTTCAAAAACTATTGAAGTAAACAAACACCAAAAATCGATAAATAGCTAGAGGGAGAAATAGAAATGGGATTAGATGAAGAAAGATTAAATGAAGATTAACATGAGTGGACTGTGGAAAATGAGGAATCCACCCTATCCCCCAACTAGGAACGTAGCGATTGGGTTCTCTTAATTAAATGAAGTTCCCATAACATAGACGAGCCTTCCGCATACTTCGCCATACGAGGCTGGTTCGGCGTTCGAAAAAAGGAGAGAGGTAGCTGGAGGAAGACGGATCGTTTTTCATTGTTCCTTAACATAGGAGCTTGACACGTCTTCGTGATTTTCATAGGNCCATGGAGTGACGTCAGCGGGCTTTGAGAGGCAACCCTTGCGCAGATGACTTTTGATCCCAGCCCCTACCCCATCCACCCCAACGGCCCGTCAATGTACGATTCAGTGCTTTTTTTCTCCCTAAACGAGATGCTACCAATAAACCGACCTCAGAGGGATGGATGTTTGGTTATACAGCGGATATCGACCGGGATTCGAGCCCGTGACCATGCGTGAAATAGTGGGCTACTTGCTCTTACACCGTCAAGTGAACTTTTATATAAAAAGGAAATATTAAAACACTGGCTTACTCATGATTCTATTCGGTTCTTGATAAGTAAAATATTTCTGATTCAGTGGCTTTACAATTCCGGACAGAAATAGGATTTCCATCCCAAACTGGGCTAGCTTAAAACATTCACACAAAGGTTGATCAACTCTCATTTGGGATTCTCCAAGCATTTGGCTTCTATTCAGATGGCATTTCTAATGCATATTTAGCCTATACAATGACATGCGGTAGTCAACCGATGTTCAGTTAGTGCTCCTATCCTTCCAGACGAATCTATACTCATTAACCTTCCCGAGGGATGGGTTACTCGGTTGGCTTAGGCAGATAACGGTCTGTGATCCGAACCCTGTTCCCCACTTTACCACTTTCCCTAGTCATCAGTTAATGTATCTCAAGGGATTTCTGGATTATTTTCGTTAGGGAGAGTTTTTGGATTTCCAAAAACCGCCGTTCACCCTAATGAACAGCCTTACAGCGGCCGTTATTGACCGTATAAGGACAATCATCGATAGAAGAATGGCAGCAAAAAGACCATTCTTTTTGAGATGCCTTTCTGACATTTTGCACTTTGCAAAGAGACATAAAAGAGATTGTGCGTAATGACGAGGCAGCCACGACAACTACAGATATGGCACAGTTCTAGCACAAGTTCACTTTTGCTATGAATTTTGAAAACCTTCACTGGACAAAATTGTTAGTGAGTAAAATGCTCGGTATTGATTCATAACACCGTGTTGCGCCATGAATTCGACCTTCGCTAACCGCTGATTGCTTAATGATCGCTTTTTTTCTATGGGTTAATCTGGAGATATATACTGAGTTGCTCCCGCCCCCGGAGGAGGAGGGGGAGGGCTCAAGAGTAAGGGTGAAAAGAAGGGTAACAGGTTTCAAACTAATGTAATTTTATTATAATACATACCAAAATACGATACATTACATTTTGTTGTTTACTTATCGAGCTGTTCCCGATAGTAACTAAATGATAATAGCCAGTTAATGATAATTTTGATCAAGTTACCTCACCCTGGTACTTCCTGATGTTTCAGAAGCTCGCTGACCTGAAAAAGCTTTGCCATCTTCAGTACTTCTCCTTATATGACCTCGAGTTGCCCTTTGCCTTATTGATAGTCAGTATCTTTAAGCTATCCCTATAATGGGAATGAGACTAGACTAGAGCTGGTATTGGTTGAAGAATAAAGATTGAAGATCGGGAAGGGTAAAGCGAAAAATTGGGGTAAGGTGCCGATAAGGACGTTCTGTAGATGAATACTTTGGCTGTCGATCTGGATCATGGCTGTTGGGTTTTCTAAAGGGTGGAACACTAGTAAGAAGATATGTGAAAAAAAGAGAATTGTAAGATATGTGAAAAAAAACGAAAATGGTGTGGTTGAGTTATCAGACAAAACCATTGAAAAATGACTATGGCTTTTCGCATTTCTGTTGGAAATGGGCCGCACATTCAAATTTCATCAGATGCGCAGCTGTAATTGGATGCGTAAATGACTTTACAACAATTGGAAGCGTAAAAGGTCGTACAGACTTAGACGCCCCCTTCAGACCGAATGTGATACCAATTCATTAACCTCTGACCGTTGGAAAAATCAGTCTCTCAGAGTAGGATTTATTGTATGATTCAATCTCCAAGTCAACTTATACCTTCTTATACCAGGACTCTTGCTTCAAGGTTTTTGGCATAAGAGGATCTGACTTCTCGAATAGCACAAATCACAAAATACGGGGATCAGGAAATCTCTGAGGCATCAGAAAATCGAACAAAAAAACTAAAATACACAACTGGAGCATACCAAAACAAGGCATAATGACCACTACTTTAAAGATTTTGTCTGACGTGCATGGCGCAAACTAGTGTTGTTGGTAAGACATCTTATGCCCTACGAAGGAGCTGTAGCGAAACTTTGCAAGAGAAAGAATTTTGTTGGAATCATGGTTTTTCAGAAGTAGCTCATCTTCAATGTAGACTATTTGCTATACCTGCATCCGAAACGTCCACAAACACCCCCAAAATGGTGATTCTGAGGACTTCTGGGGACCAGCTGGATTACGTCATGAGTCGTTCTAGCGGAGGGCCTACCGGTAGCCGAATTTCTTTTCTCACCTTCTTCCTTGCCTTGTATGTGGGAGAGGAAAATTTCGAGCGAGTTTTAACATCGTTTCAAGCTGAGCTGGAATCTATCTATTTAACGAAAGGAAATTTGTTTGGTCAAATAAGATGTGTGGACTGCATTTCCTTAAGACTACGGTATAGTTCCTGAAGGAGGAGGAAGGAGGAGTAGAAGAAGAAGAAGAAGAAGAGGAAAAAATGAAACAAAAGAAGTCAAAATCTTCAGCTGCATATGCTCATGATATCATGAGCCGGAGAAAGGACCAACAGGAGGCAACGGCTTTTGTTACTACGAAGGGGAGATTGGGCTCAGAAAAGTAATCATCAGCGATCTCTAGGTACTTATTAATTTGGTGGTCCAATTACAACGTAATTAGAATTATTTGGGATGTCGTTTATTTACTTGGCTCATGTTTACATACTGAAGGAGTATTTTTCGAATCGGAATGTTCTCGAATATCACCGAAAACAAAAGAAATTGAAGAAATCGGTCCCACATTTCCGTTTAGAGAAAAACTAAACATGGAAATGGCATCGATTACACCGTTAGTTCCTTACCGAAATAGGAGTTCCGGTCTATCAACGAGACAGTATCACTGATTATTCAGCTGGAAATCAGCACCGTACAACAGGAATGAATCAATCCACTCGAAATCAGAGATTGTAATGTTAAGACAAAGATAACAGAACAGAAATAGCGACAAAGTACAGTGTGGTTTTGTAACGACGACGACGTTCTGATCCGAGCAGAACGCCGTGGACGTTTGTTTGCCCTTGTGCCATATAAAAACTCGTCACATGAGCGCCTACATTGAAAAGGGGCTTTTTCAGGAAATGCGCCACGAACGTAAAAAGAGGTCAAAGAGTAGCGAAAAGTGTTTGATGAAAAACGTGACTACAATTCCGTAGACTGCGACGATGGATGGTTCCAGACGAAAGGAAATCTGGGGCTATCGATTCAGCCGATTATCGATGAGAGGCGATTTTAGTGATAAGCGCCATAGACACACAGCGAACTCTCCGCCACCGCGCACTGTTCAAACGAAAACGACGACGACACCGCAACGCGCCCGGGCAGCCACCCATTGCGTCGCGGGCAACGAGGGTGGGCTCGGCCAGTCGCGAACCCTTGCACGTCAAGGACACAATGGGTGATGGGTTATGCGCCCGATGACCAGTCGGCTGCTGCTGGCCAACCAGCTGCAACTGCCAGTAATAGATAGTTACTGCATTCTGATGGCAGTCCTGGGCTGTTGAACAACGTTCTTTTGGGAAAAATAGTCACCTAACCATTCCACCCAGGATTGCCGTAGCGATTACGTCTATTATCCGCCCAAAGGAGGAGTAGAGGAGTAGCTTCAGAGGGACTCGGCACCATTCTAATTGCCCTCGGATCAACTGGATCAACTACCGTACCGATTACCTAGACAGAATAACCGAGCTTTCCATCTCTTCTGCCCTACTCCGCACACAACTCCACAGATTGCTGGCACCGCGATGTTACGAGTCACTGGGTCCGTTACGTCCTTCGCACTAGTACTGGAATCTTGATAATTTACTAGGTGATAAGGAAAGGGACGGGACTGTAGGTGGTTCATGATAGAAGAGATAACAACTGATAAGAGCTGATAATGAAGTTCAGAATGCAAGAACCGCATAAACTTCTTCCTCCTATTCTATTGACAGCTCAGTCTCGGTTCTCAAGTGCTGTGTTGTGCTGGGTTTCACGGGTTGGTGGATGCTTGGTGAAATTAGCCGATAGTAGATGATCAGTACGGATAGAAGATCTAATTTGGCAAATACACTGCATTCGCTTCAGCCTCAGATCGTCTCAATCACATCTTCCTGAGCGTGAGCACATTCATTCTCGAACCTGCTCGAGGTGTTGGACTTATAGGCAGAGTCTTGCCTTCTGGCTTCCACTCGAAATCGCTACCAAACCACTACGGTACAGACATCTATGTCATTATCTCAAATGTGACAGCCTCAAGAGTAGACAGTAAAATTTGAAATTGACAGCAAAATTTTTAAATAAAGGTACCGAGAACGGAGGCGTCCTTAATGAGAAGTTTTCGATCGAGCCCCTCACCTTGAGATAGAACTCGATAAGAACGGATTTCTCATTTCACGGCTTTTATGATGAAGTAACCAGGCACCGTGAAAAGAATGAAACTACATGTTCGAAGAGTTATTGAGGGGTTGTCTCAAGTCATAGCCAAGTAATTCTGCCGCTTCGTAGTGGATTGATACCGTATCACCGAATCAGTAGGCCTTGAAACGAGACGAATGAGAGTTTGACTGAATCTGGTCTCACTTGCGGGCCAGAAATCAGATTTAATAGTGTCACGTAGTGATTATATTAGTGATTATTAGAGGTTTGCAATGTTATTACCAAGTATTCGTATCGATTAATGTTTACGCATCGAAATGACTACAGCATGGGAAGATGGTTCTATAGCATAGTCATGGTAGTCATAGTCCCTATGGTCTATAGTCATGCTGTATTTCATTTCACTGCTGAAATATCGATCGTAGCTTATTTGATTACAACATTGCAAGCATCTAATAACCATTACAACAAACCGGCACCATCATCCTCAGCTCATCATCCACATCAACGTTTCAGAAGCACAGTCAGCTAATCAGAAAATTTTCATGTTTGAAATCTGTTAATAAAATCTATTGCATTGTGCTGATATTCTGCTCTCATCCATAATCGAGGGGCTACTTCTACTACTTCTACTTTGTTAGTCTTGGCAAATGAGTAAAAGCTCCTTTTACTTCGATACATAGCGTGCAAGAGCAATTAAAAAAACAACAATCATACTGAGATTCCGTATTTATCCGAACATTTATGTAATTTTTCGAATACATGAGATGAAGTAGAAGATTTGAAAGCTTTAGAAAGCAAATCATAGCAAAATTCAAAAAATTCTGACTACACAACTAACGACTAATATTCAAAGATCATGTCATCTACTAAGGCACTGGAAACCTAATCCTTTCTAACTACGTCTACAACAAAAATAACAACAATGGAAGTGTGAGCAAACCGAGTCCAAAAGGACCGAAAGAAACTGCTCATTGAGATAATAAACGCAATAAACAACAAGAAATAAACAGAAAAACAACAGTTACAAACTGTAATGCAAACAAAAAATATCTACTCCGTAAAACAACCTATTCATCCTTATCCGACTTCGCTTCACTCTTTTCTTCCTGTTCGGGTTCAAGGGGGCTGTAGAGTTCATAAAGCTTTGCCAGTTGTCGAAAATCGTCTATACTTCGCGCTTCCTCGATTATACGACGTGATACGTCGACCCCAGAGCCATAGACGTTCAACAAAAGTACACCAACAACCTAAAGTCAGATAACTTAAGTTACTATTGATCATCTTCCCATATAGTGCCTGGGAGCAGGCTTGAAAAACACCTCAGTATTGCAACAGCCAGTCATATCACCTAGTACGACATCATACCGCCTAGTACCTTCCCTCCAATTCTAAGCCGTAGAAACAAACAATTGAGAGTCTCTATTGCGCCGTTTTATCTCTATTTACGACAGCTTATAACTTCAAAGGCGCAATCGCCCCCAAACTAACAAAGGAAAAGCAGTCACTGCAATAAATATGCATCAGGAAAAACAATTATCACAAAATCAATTACCTTTCCGTTCTCTCCTTTATAGAAAACAACGCCACGTTCATAGCTTTCATTGGCATTGTCCTGAAGCAAGCAGCTAAAACTAATGAAACGCAAAAACACCAAAAACCAAACAAAAAGGGAAATGAAACTAACATCTTTCGCGAACACTGAAACAGTTGGTAGAGATGAATCTGTGATGCCGACGGCATTGAGATTCCATTGTGGAGCAATCTTCGAGAAGAACGATGGTTGGTACCTGTGGAAATAGTGCTGTCAATGCAGAGGATTTCAGAGACGTTTGAGAAAGACTTACCAGAACGCTTTTCCGGCTCCCGTCATGTTTTCACCTGCCAGACGTCCACTTACCTAGAAAGAGATAAGATAGAGAAAAGCTTATGGAATTGTGATGTAGGTATCCCACTTGTGCATTCTCCCAGTGCTCAATCCTCCGTCGACCTAACGATTTGTCGTAGAACGATGCTGAATCTCCTGCAGCCCAGATATCAGACTGAACTCGAAGCTCTGCATCTGCAGCTACGCCGCCTAACCGGCTGTCAATCTGAACAAAGTTGTCATTGAGAAAAAGTTATGTATACGGACAAACTTCGAAGGGGCTCAATCCTAATACCAACGCAATCTGACGCTTATAACCACCCATGGATATAAGAAAGCGTAACAAATAGAATCGATCACAAAAATCCTTGGTTGAAAGAAAATTCAGCTCCATGCACAAGATGATGAAGTAAAAAACTTTAAAAAAAGAGCAAAACAAAAGAAAGCACCTCAAGACCGGAAGCTTCTGCAACTGAGGTATCTGGCTCAATTCCTACACAAACGATAACATAGTCGGGCGTGAGAGCTTTTTGTCTGTTATTTACCTGAAGGCCACGATATATGATTAATACGGCGGATTCCTAGCGCATCTCATAGATAAAGAATCATTGCATTGCATTACCTTCACTTCCAACTGTTCCCCTGCTCTTTGAATCGCGGTAATCTGAAAATAAAAAAAAGTGGGAATGGAAATTTGTATTTTGAAAAAGTTGAGGGCAAGTGTCTTAGACCCCTTCGACACCTCATGTGTAGGCTTTTAGTATGGGACACTAAAAGAATTTCCGACCGCAGAACAAAGGTAACGATATTCTTTCGTGTAAAACGAAAAATTCTAGCCTATTACAATCGTGGGTAACAGCTAACCTTAGCATCGGTTATTACATCAACTCCAACTCCGCGGAGGGACTCCGTAGCTTTCTGTGACAAAAGTTCCGGCAGAACTTGGCTCAGATTCCCTTTCTCAGGAACGACCTGAATTATTTAAAAGAACCTATTCAATTACTTCTGAGACACAAAACACTTGATGCAAACCTGACTGATTTCTACATCTTGATATCTTCTACGAATGCTATAAGCTAACTCTGAACCAGTGAAACCGCCGCCAACAATAGCTATGGACTTCGAAGACTTGCAAATTGAGTCAAGTTTTCGGTAGTCATCCAACTTGAACGGAAGGAGTAATTAGTTCCAAAGCTTACTGGAACGAAAAGCAAACGAAATTCCAGAACATAACGAACCCCTCGCAGATACAGTATCCTCTCTTTTACGTCTTCACCAGCATCATCAAGTTCAGGTAATGTCTTCGGTTTTCCTCCTTAAAGGACTGAGATTCGGAATAATTCTCACAAAAATAAAACAAAATGTTGAAAAATCGTCATCTACATATGCAATCTTTCTATGGAAAACATTTCTCTGAAACCAACCTGTAGCGATGAGGCACTTATCGTACGAAATACATGTTCCATCATCGAGGTAAGCTTTTTTCTCTCTAGGGTTAAGCTTCTTCACTCGGTGCCCTTTCAGCAGCGATACACCGCCATGAACCGTTGACGGCAACTCTGATGGAGGCACAAAGAAACCCTCAACAAGTTGAATATTGTTGTATAAGTTCTCTGGCACCAATTATGAAACTATTCAACCGACCTAAATTACTCCATCAAAAAACAAATTGGGGTTGAAGTATCAAAGAAAACGCACCTCGGCTTCAAAGTATACATCGCGCTTCTTTCCACTGAGGCCTTCATACTGTAGACTAGTCGCCGAATTTTCGTCACCATACCACCACAGCTCTTTTGACAAAGGAGGACGGTTATACGGCAGATGGTTTTCCTCGCCGATCTGACATACTACAAATCATTCGAGAAAAAACAATTAGAAAAAGGGATCAAGCTGAATGGGAGTATGCCTCTTCATTCTTTCGTATTTTGCTAGATGAGAAGTTTCGCGAATAGAGGTGACACCGAGTAGGCCCTGATTTAATTGTCATAAACCTTTTGCAAGGAGTTCATAAGCCTTTACGGCATGAAGCCTCTGAGCCTGATTATGACGCAATATCTTCAGAAAAAAGCAGAACTACACGAAACAGATAGTGAAAGAGATATTATCATTAACTCATAATTTGGGAATTTTCATAAAAACCGACTCAACTAACGCTTTAAACAGAGCGTGTCAAGATTCAGAGTGCTTCGTAGTTTTCGAAAATTTAGCAATAAAAGAGAGATAAAAATCAAAAGCACACCATGAGAACTTTTGCATCAGCGTGACGAGCTCGTATAGCCAACGATGCATAATATGCAGCCGCTCCGGCACCGACTAGCAAATACTCAACGAATTCGGGAACCTTAAAATGCTCATTTGAATGCCAAGGGATTCAATTCACTAAATGAACTATAACTGGAATATGTGCATTTTATCCCAAGAGGATCCTTTAACGACATCTCAACTCGAGAGCCCTACCTAGAAGGATGTAAGCACAAAACGTTGGATTTTACTACTTATATATGTTTCTGCTGTCGCCCATGTGTCACATCGATAGCTCCAATTCAACGTACAGGTATCAGCTAACCATACTTTATCGAAGCATAAAATCTGAGCAACCTAACAAGTGAGTCATGAGGTGATTGCATCACTCCAAAAACTTAACAGCATAGGCACTGAGGCAAGTTAAACAGTTCAGAACCCTAAGAACCATGTCATGGAAAGCACAACAGGTCATAACCCTAACAAGCAAAAAATTATGAATCGACCTCCTCTCCACTCGAGGAGACAACCGTCTTCTTCATTTTTGTGTCCGTAGGTGTACTAGACTCCTCTTTCGAAGACGTACTCCTTTCAGTTCGTGAATCAGAGTGCTTGTCTTCCTGCAAGGCAACATATTTGCGTCCTGTTTGCAATGAGAAACCCTGCTTGATTTTTGCTGTTTTGCCAGCCAAGAATTCAGATGAAAAAAAAACATGAAAGACTTTACACACCTCGATGTGTTTGCCATCATTGCTGTCATGATCCCGATCGTCGGCCTGACTATTCGATGTGGGCGATGGTGTGCTACTTTCAGGTGAAGAAGAACTCTCACGTTCGTTTTCAGTGGGTTCATCCTCTTCCTTGCTTTCAGATGGCTTTGCAGGTGGTTCTGACTCCTCTACGCTGGCGTCCTGAATTGCGAACTCTGAACGCTATGAAACTCGAACGGAAAAGGGAAACCCTGAACATATTTTTCAATACACGAAACGCCATTTGGGTCATTCTGATTCAAGTTTATATTTGGTAGATGACGGGCGCCATTTTTAATATGTTGCTGAAGAATCATGGGAGTATTTCGCCAGTTTTCCAGCCACAGAGGATATCGTAAGGGCAGGACCCGGCAAGGAATAACGTCATTCAATCTCGACCAATCCAAAAAATCTCAAAAATATCATGAACGCTGTGTTTACGACAGCCACTTTCCATGAGATATAAATTTTGAAGTGCAATAAATAGAACGATATCCTTTCAACGTGTTGATTTTCACAACCCCCAAAATGGGGAAGATCATTTACCTCACCGTGTATTTCCAGCTTAGAACAATGCACTATTGAAAACAACAGACTTCGCCAATGCCTAGTCCTTTATAACTATTTCATAAACATATTTTGAAAATTCTGAGCAGCTGGAGTGAGCCTTGATTGAGTAAAGCGAACTTTTGCGAAGCATACCTTTGTGGGATGGCTCTCATCTCCTCCATGCGCATGAGCCTTTGATCCGTGTGTCTTCCCCTTGATATTCTTACCAAAAAGATCGGTGTAGTAAACCTGGATGAAATTTTCAAATAAAATTTGCCTCCATACAATATGTCATATGCAATAGCAATTAATGTGAAGATTGGGTACTTCACTATGGGAAAATACGATTTGCTTCATGAAAGGCACAGCCAAAAATTTGTTGGGTCAAAGGGGATCCCATTTACCGCGTCATGTTAGTGACTATTACAGCCGTTGAAAGGGATAAAGATACCCGAATATTTCGAAAAAAAACCGCAATAACTATTTGATCTCGCTGCAGACGGGCTCATCAAAGGAAACGAAAGTATTATATGAACAAATTAACGAGTAACGCAGAGCTCAGAGAAAACATCCATTGCTCAAGTTATACTCAGCATAAATGTGAAAGAAATAATGTGAACCTACAATAGCCAAAACAGTAAGGATTATTCCCACACCAGCTCCAAGAAATGAGTACACGTCGCTCCTTTCTGGCTTGTAAGGCTCGTGTGGATATTTTTCTTGCGGCGGCTAAATAATGACGATAATTTACGCTAACACTAGAAAACCAGCATATGGCATTGAAAGTAGTACCAAATAGTTTACTTAAGAAGAATTCATCATAAATAACCTTTAGCTCTCCTAACCAGTTTCTTACTCCACTTGACGGCTTCGGAATGTACGGTGGTGGAGGCTCATCTACAAATCAAATAAATTGGCTCGTATACGAATTGTCACAGATATCACTTCGAGTTAGGTTCGAGATAACTACAAAGCTCTACGAAACCGGATAAGTCATGAAACCGAACTGCTGCTGCAGATTATTAAACTAATTCAAAAAAAACCTACCATCGTGATGGCTGGCAGTTACGACGGCTGATGTACGTACAAGTCTCAAAGAGTGAATACGCATGAAGCATCGTCCCACATTGATAGATGAAAGCCGAGATATCATAACAGGGCAATGATGCTGGCGAAGAAACCACTTAAGGACTACCATAGAATGAAATTGTTAAAATAAAGCAAAAAAAAATAAAGGACAGCTTCTACTGCTTGAAGAAGGACAAGGAACTTCATAATATCACTTTATTGATTTCATTAATCTCATTACCCGAACAAAGACTAAATACAACAACGCTTTTATACAGATATCACTGAACAGAAAAGGAAGCTAGTGTCCTTGCTTGTGCGTCTGCTATCAAAGCCGCATACGCTGGAGGAATTTTGCAACCTTCCAGCTTCTGGAAAAACACGGTTGTTATCTATAACTGTTATACGTTTTCGGAAAGAAACGACGCACATTGATAACCATTTTGCAAGCTGCCAAACTTTTAGAACCGATAATACAGAGGGCATCACATCGGAAACGAGACCATCGCACTTTCGGATCAAAAAGCATGCCTAAATATCTAGCAATGAAAACAATCAATGAAGGCATATTACGATGATGAAAAAGGTCAGTCCCTTACGTCTACAATGGTCTCCCTCTGCTAACTTTTACAGGACCTATAGCACTTCCTTGTTGTCCCATTCTCTCTCTGCTCCCCGGCTTCTTCAACACAGCAAGTGAATTTATATGTGCCACTTTTATTGGCTCCTCTGCTTTCGGTTTCATTTTTGTAAAAACGAACAGGAGATGAAAGATGAGCAGAATGAGCACAAGCGGCCAATTTTGAAAAATTCCACACCTGCTGTTATTAACTAATTTATACTAATGTCAGTAGCAGTTTAAGGGTGTTATTTTAAGCACATGAAACATGACGTGGAGTGAATTGGTAAACCTCAAAATTTTCCAATCATCTCCTCTAAAAACTTAATTTTCCCAGTAGTACTGAAACGAGGACACTTCAAAGACTGAAGTAACCTCACAGGTCTGTGGAACTTTCTATGCATGCCTGCCTTCACGAATTTTACCGTCACCCTAAATAAGTAGCTTACACAAAAGTAAACATACTGATGTCAAGAGGCTTCCTTATAGTGGAATTCCACCTGTCCAGCAATACCATTACTGCAGTATGGAAGTTCATAGCATCTCGATCCTCTGATGGCTCAACTTCTATGTCAAGCAAATAAGCAAGCATTTTTTCAAAAACCTAAACAGATTTAGATATGCCCAGGTCTCGAAGTGGAAAATGCAGTAGCATACCTCTGATCGGAAAATGTCAGCGAGATGAGGCGAATCTCTGAATCCTTTCAGGAAGTATCCTGGGTTTCTATTAATGTAGCTGGCGAAAACAGCTGCCATTGGTCGATTTATCGGTAATACTCGCGTGGCATAAACAACAAAAAATACGGTGAACTCTGGGCAGGACGTCTCCAAAGGCAGAAGAAATTCATACTGAAAATATTTTGAAAGTGAAGAAAGCTCCTTAGTCCATGTTGGATTGTGAATTTTTGGTTATTACGAAGAAACATAGTCTTGCCAAGAATCAAATAGAATACTGCAAAGTAACTCACGATTTTTGAGTCACTTGGTTTGAGGTAGTGTTCTGCAAGAACCGCAACTAGTTCTTCAGCGTATGGCTTGCTGTTACCGACCTTAAAACATGAGGTACTCTTTAAAAATAACGATTTGTTGGCAATCGGTCCAAGCCTACAAATAGCTCTCGTGGGCGGACTGAACTATCATTTTTCCAAGAGCTTATTTACATTTCAATTCAATTACAATGTTTTTTATAGTATTTTTCATGTGAAAGCAGCAAAGTCAAATAGACCACAACGGTTCGTTTTTTACAGCTAGTCCTGCTCTACGAAAACGTTTATTGGTTCGTAACACGCAACGCCACGTGTCGATGGATATAACGTCACAAAAGGTGCCACACATCTGATACACCCAATTTTCTCAAAATACATCCCAGCAGAGGCATCGAACAATGCCGAAGTCAGAAGAAGACTCCACCGGTTGTAAATTTGCGAAAACCTTTCAGTTGACGTCAGAAAAAAAATCAGGACACTTGAAATACCAGTTCCCTTGTAATTATATTGAAAGAAAAAGTGGAGGAGCTATATGATTCGATGAGTAACCCACTTTTGACAGCCAGAGAGAAATCTGAGCATAGAGTTGAAGGACAGGAAACTGTAAAGCATACGACGCTAATCGGTACAGAACACGAAGTCTGTGTTCGTGAACATGGGACTCTCCTTCTCTTCCCAGGAAGAGCACTTCGAAGTAGGCATATTTATTCATCTCATCTCGCTCCTGAAGTAGGTCAATAAGAAACCTGACCTGGCACTCTACGATCCCACAGTTTTTGTTCCAAGAGATATTTCATCACGAACACATGAAAAACAACATGAAGTTTGGCTGCAGTTGAAGTAAAAATCTCATGATTAAAAGGAAACTGAATTGCTTTTTTACCCTGCAAACTGATCAGACCTTTTTATCGCTATCGACTTGTGAAGAGAAAAGCCCCTGTGTCAGGGGATGTCAATTCCTTAAATACAATAGGCGCTATAGGCGTGAGAAGCCACGAAAAGTCGGGACGTTATGTAGGTGGTCCCTTACACACGATACAGCAATCCAACTCATTATCCGTTCTGCACACTCGTGAATTTTTTCAATGAAATGTCATGAAAAGTGACTTACCGCGAAAAAGTGAGCCAGATGATTGATGAGTGTGAACTCTTGAAGTTGTGAGAGCCGCGAACCCTTCCTGTCCGCAGTGAGACAGAATATTTCATTGTCGATAAGCAGTTGTAGATCATTATTCTTTGTCAGAACAGGACGGCTTCGACCATGACTCGACAATCGGACGTGCTTAGAAACCTGACCGAAGGGACAATATTTCTTTCCAAACGAATAATCAACAGCAATTTTCAACGCACCTGAATGAGGGCTTCAGTAACACAGGCTGGGAATGCGATACCTAATGAAGTTGGTATAGGGGCTCCATGGTGAATGGGGCCCCCTCCGCGGCGCATTTGCCTGAATCCTCTGACTATAACGATGTAGTTTTCAGAGTATTGTCCTAATATAAACAAGCAAGCATCTAAACAAATACACTTAAAGGCGTAATACGCCGGTTCTCAAGGTATTATGCAAACGGAGAATATGCGATATATGCGTGCGGCTGCGTCACGATCTGATGGTCTTGAGCGCTACAACTCTCCACTTAAGAGGTTTTTTCACCTCTTTCAAAACTTCAAACGCACTTCGATCTGCCTATGCTACATCATTCATCACGCCTCCTTATTACCATGCGATTAGCTCATAGTTCACATCATGAAAATCGCTATCGCAGGTGCACTTTGTCCCTATTGTCGCTTTGTATGTTACTGGTATTCCGTTTATGAGGCATTTTTCACATGAAAAATCACCTGTTCACTGGAAAAGTGTTCATCGAGGCTTGTGCACCGTTTTAGTAACCAATTCCGTATTTATGTTGTCCAAATTCGATCGAAGGACAGGAAAGTAGGTCCTTACAGATTGGCTGTGACGTCAACCTATAATGAGTACTCTTCTAATAGGAATGTGCTATCAAATTTCGAAAGATTCCTGAGGAGGCTGACCGGTTTTGGCTCCCATGAGTGATTCTACAGTATTGCTGATGCAGCACTTACCAGTTAGGTGATGTTCTTGAAGTGCACGAAGAACTTTGCTTCTCACCTCTAGATGGCCAAGGTCGACAACGATTTTGTCACTGTTACGTTAAAAATAGACAGCCCTTCAGTTGACAAGACAATTACTGAGTAAGGGTGGAGCAAGTGGTAAAGTGTATTCACGTCTTCTGGCAAACGGTAATGTTTACTTTTAGTTTGCTCATACTTTGAAATTAATTTGGCTAGATGATTCCCAAAAAAAGGCTATGGACTCACGTTTATTGGGCTCTCACAAGGCTCCTTGATTGCTATTGACTCTCTTTTGCCGGATAGCTAGATGTATCCACCGCTGGATGCTGAAATATATAATGTTTATCTCTTTTGATGTTTTCTGCTATCAAACTTTTGTAAGAAGAAGTGGCCTCCGGTTTTCTCAAAGCCATTTCGTATATGAGTTTATATCTCGTCGTCAGAAAAAACGCATTTTTCTTTTCGAAGTTGTCAAGCGGGTTAACTTGTGACCAATTTTAATAGCTATTCCTTCATAGCTTGGCTACAAACTTAATCAGGAAGTAAGTTAGCCTTTTACCCCATTCGCTCTGTTGTTCGTCAAAGAAGGAGGGAATTACCTTCGACAGATCCCTTCAAAAAGCGAATCGAAGGGTTTGATTGTGGAAAAAAAACTTTTGTGGGCTTAAACTAAAGCGCCATATGGGAGCTCGCAATATGTAAACTCACATCACCTCTATAGAAGAAAAAAGAATAGGGAAAATACCCAGGCCATTTATGCATTCATCCAACCCCCTTAATCCCCTTCGCACTGTTGCTTATCTTTTTTTCTCATATTACAGCCCATATATATAAAGTTCTTCCGACCCACCGAAGCCTTAGAGGGTCACAAAACTACTTTTATATCGTGGTTTCAATGTATTCATGAGAACTTGAAGACAATGTATGGAACGGATATGATATCGTGCTCCCATTTTTTGCCTTCGAATAAGTTATCCGAAAAAGAAAACGCTGGCGCAGTTACAGCCCACAATCTCAGGTATCCGAAGGTTTTGTCCCGACAAAACCCTGCTCGTTCCATGCTCCAGTCATGACACCGTCATGCAGCCGCGCGCTTTTGAAGGAATTTGCACCTGCCTAATTTAAGCTTCCTTCACGTTGCACTTTACGAAATGCCGCACAACGAATGTTGAATCATTGGTTTAGCGGTGCTTGGAGTGATGTTAAGTGAAAAAAGATTTTGTATTCTTTAAAAAAAAAGCGCAAGACCATGAAGCTTTTGGCTATATTCATATGAGTAAATGCTCTTTGAAGTTTTCTATTCTTCATTCTTCCTTCCGCTTCGTTGTTGTAAGATGTCTTGTTAGTACTTTACCCAGTCTTTTGAAGAAAACTTTTATTGTCTCGATTCGAAGTCTCTATGGGTGTAGCAAGTTTAGCAGACATATGGTTTTTATATGTTTGAAGTTGTTTTGTCGCTTGCCAAGCAGCTAAATTCAGACTTTAGGTCGATAAACTTTGGTTGAGCCCTCCCTTTTTCCACTACGCCAAAAGTTATTGGACCCGTTGGTCACGCATTGCTTTGCTTTTTCTGTTTGGAAGTAATTGGTGTTTTTCTTGGAATACCATTGTTGTACCGGTTGCCTCAACAAACACTGGCATTTTCTTTAAATTCTATCGCGCACAAACCTTCCACCATACAATGTCGTGATTTTCTTATGTTAACCAGATGGCGTTTTGTTTCACATTGTCATTTTATTTTCCTTTCTTCGCTAAGCCAGGATAAGAGCTGCGTCACAAGTTGTGCGAGTAAGCATTGATTCTGGTACCTCCCCAAAGTGAAAAGGAGAAGCGTTGGCATGCATGAATAACCTTTTGATAGCCTACTTACGAATTACCTTTCTGCGTATATGATAGGTGCCTTCTTGTGTCATAAAGTCGTACTGTATCATTAGAAATGTATATTTTAGTCGATGTCGGAACCGGAATCCCGGCTATCGACGCCTGGGAGAATACCGCCAGGAACAACTACTGTGGGCGCACTTCCCCCTCTGACGTTGCCACCGCCACGTCTTGATCCTCTCGCAGGAATATCGTCCGTACATCACTCCTATGCTTCTCCTAGTTTAGGAACACAGGTTATTATTCAAGCAACACAGTTTGATTTTATTTCTAAAACTTTATACGCAGGTAGTAGTTTTTCTATACGTAAGCACACCTCTGGTGACTTCTCCTTCGGATTTATTGAAACAACGTTCCCTGCTCTGAACGAATGTTCACTCCATTACATTATTTTTCAGTTCTTCGTCCACCGGTAATTTCCTGTAGTTGTATAATAGAGTTGTAGTCAAACTCAACATAAACTGCCTGCACCCAAGTTTTCGATCTTCGCANTGATTTGAAAATGTAGTAGATTGATACAGTAGTGGCGCGGAATAAAGTGTGAAGTAAATTTTGCTGAACTCTGGCATCCATTGCTTTCCAAAAAATTAACGATGGGATCCGGATTCAAATGTTCTTTTCTTAAGTTACTATTGCGACGTTTTGCTAGTATGCTTTGTGAAGGCTGTTCAATTCGTGAGCAAGGCTGCATTTTACCGCAAATTCTTAGGAAATTTCAGCATCTTAGGTTTCTAAACTACCAAGACTTTCATCCTCTCAAACTTAAACAAGTAGCTCTCTTAACTAGTAACTCTTGTGTTCAGAAGGTTTATTTTTTGGATACCATTTCCTCATGTTGTTCCATTCGTAACCGGTTCAAGTGAAACCCAAAAACTATCATGGGAAACGTTGCTTCTTAGAGCTGTACAATAATTCCCTTAGAGATGTTTCCCAAATTGATGCGGCTGTAAAAATGTATATGGTATTCGATTTCATGCCCTATTTTGAAGTTCCTAATGCGTTTTATTTGGAAAATTCATCTCGATGGTTTCGGCAACAGGAATAGATGTAATGCTTATGATCAACATTATCGGGTCCTATTTTGGTAAAGTAATAGCTCAAAATTGGCAACAGCTTTCGTTCGCAGATTCGGTGAAAAAAATTCCATCATAATGAAGTTCTCATTGCTTTCGGGCTGCCTTTGCTTCAAAGAAAGGAAAAGTAAGGTACACACAATTTCTGATCCGGCGCCTTTTGGGATAATCTTCTGTGTGTTTCAGCGGTTTTCATATTTCTTGTCTTTTTCGTTTCACTCAGGAAATCATGTCTAATAATACGAGGACAGTTCAATAAAAGTGTTGGCAAACAGACAGCAAAGTTAATGGGATTCGACAATCACAGTTTTTTTAATGATTTGTTATGGCGCCGAGGACTATTTTGTTATTCGTATTTTGAATTTTTTCAAAATGTTCGCTCGAGTGTGCAAACAAGCATTAGTGGAGCCTGGTATCTTCAGATGATGCCCTCCCCTATACTGCAGTCTGGAATGATGTCTCCTGTATCAGCGCAATCACCGATCAGCCACCAAATGGTTTCTCCGCAACAGAAGTCTCAGCCTGGTATGCATATCATTAGCCTATCTATTCGCATAGCCTGTTTTTATATCCGTTTTCTATTCAAGTTTCTTTGGCTGGTGGACAAGTTCCTCAGCAGCAACACTTGCAAGACTTGCGGCGGCAGAGCATTAATATGATGCACCCTCAAGAGCAGATGCGAGGACAATTCTCTCATACCGTGACAACGGTGCCCTCAAATAAACGACCAAATGAAATGGGTCGACAAATTCAAAGTTTGTTTCTTGCCATACATTTCTTTTTACAGTTTTGATTTCTCCTTATTCGTAGAACTACATTGTCAGTTTTACTAAATTTTATAATTAAGTGATTCCTGGGTTTGGTTTACGTCTTAATAGTGACAAACATCTTTCTATTCTGTACTTTGTATGGTTTGCTGTCCTAGACAAACACAACGCTTTTGAATTCTCATGAATAGAGGGTAACATTATAAGTCGCTAGACAATCAATGAATTTTTTGACGGCATTTTTCGGTTGCTGATTTTTTGCTTCTTCAACGCCCTTAATTTAACTGAATGCGAAACATCTGTAATAATAGTCGTCTGAAGATATCAGAGCAATTCCAATTGTTTTCATCAATTTTCCGTTCTATTTATAACGTATGAGCGGCTTTGAACTTTTTGATGGACTCTTTTCTAGAATAGCTGTCCCTATCCCTACTAAAATTATTCACATCAACTCAGCTTCAGAACTGATGAAACTTGAGCAATTGTTTTTTTTATTCAGGTGTCCCTAGTTCGCCAGCATCGTTGGCCGTTTCCACACCTCCTCAATCTGTCCAGGTTCGCGATTACTTTCATCATTAGATGTTAGTTATGAAGTTTCGAACCCTAGTCAACATCTCTATCAGACCAGCATCGTTATTTTATTTTACGAAGTCCTCTGCTTTTATCCCAGTATTGTACATTAACAAATTTGGGAACAAATCGAATCAGACAGTTGTTGTATTACTAGATTGCTAGTTTTATATGGTTCGTTTTAGATGCGCATTTTTAATTTCCGTTTCTTATTAAGGCTAGGCACGGCAGCCTAGATGCTCAGCCGTCGCCGGGATCAGGCAGCGTTGGTAACCCGTCACCGTCGTATTCCAACCACTCTTCACCGTCTGTTGTACAATTGCATAATGGGCATGGACCTCCCGTTAGTATTCAATATTACTGACGTGTGATACATATGACATATACTTAATGATATTTTTAAGGTCTCAGGAGGATAGATATCATCTTTTAAAAAATTTTAGAGTTCATATGTGCAAAGTTCTACGATGCATTCGCATGGTGTTCAGCCCGCAGCCCGTTTCTCTTCAATACCTTCTCAGGATCACTTGCAGCATCAGGTCACAATCGGGTCTCTATCCTCAGGCACTAATAAGCAGGTATTCCAGGTAGGGGCTTTCAGCTTCTCGTCGCATCTCACACTTTTCCAAATGCCTATCTTGACATATGTCATTCAAAATCATTTTTAAGCATGANCACTCGTAGCCGCATCCCCGCAACAGGTAAACGTTACTGAATCTTCCTGTTTGCTTCTGTGAAGACTCACAGTTCCGTTGTAGCGAAGCATAGCAGCTGCCCCTCAATTACCGCAACCACCATCAAGCCAAACTCCTTCGCTTTTGCAACAGCAACTGTGTTCTCGACCGTCACGGGTATCTTTTGCGAGTGTCTTCTACTTAACTTTTAAATATTCTTTTCGTAAGCTATCTCTGGAACGACTTGTATTTGAGGTCTCCTCACATGCAGCAACAGCANGCTTTTGCAACAGCAACTGTGTTCTCGACCGTCACGGGTATCTTTTGCGAGTGTCTTCTACTTAACTTTTAAATATTTTCGTAAGCTATCTCTGGAACAACTTGTATTTGAGGTCTCCTCACATGCAGCAACAGCACCGGGCGGTCAAAGCAATGTACTTATTCAGCAGCAACCTCTTCCACAAATTTCTGTTGGTCCTACACAGCAGAACGGTCAGCAGTGCAACCCAAAGGTGAGATTTTGGGTGTTTTCTCTTGCACACGACCGAGGAAAGATCAGGCGAAGTTCATTCCATTTTTTAGCCAAGAGCAATTCCCCCTCAGGAGACTTTATCTCGTCAACTTCAGTCTACTTCGAGTGCTCAACAGCAGCAGCAGCAGCATGTGGTCATGGGGTTGCTCCATGGGGCGCAACTTCAGGTTGGCAGCTAGATTTCTTCTGTGCGAATTGAGTATTCCTATGCGGTTTTTAGCAGCAGCAAGCTGATGGTGTAGCAGGTTACGGCTGCGCAAACGTTTCAAACCCTCACGTTCGACAGGTATTGTGTAAAAAAAATTCTTTTTGCATGTTTTTTCGATCAGTAAAATGTCTTGTTCTACATTCATTTTTCTTTTCTAAATATCCAAGAGCTCATTACTCGATATCACTTCTGCTTGAAAGTTGTTGGCATTTTGAAAAAATAGCTCCATTGATTTAGTTTGGTTGTGAAATAGATGGCGGCTATATTTTTTATAATTTCTAAAGCGTTTCTTTCAGAATATTTGGTTTTTTTTGCTAGTGTTGACATTACCTATTACTCCTTTAGATTTTGGCATCAAGAACTCCGCAGGTTCTTACTGGTCCGCCTGGCCCTGGTCCGTCTTCTGCTCAACACGTAGTGAGTGTTCTTTTCTTCCGAATTTTATTCCAAATCCAATTTATGCTCAATACAGACTTGCCTTCTGCTTGACATTCGAGTTGTACTTTCAGTTCTTGCTTTTAAGGTTGCTTCGCTTCCTCAAACGTCATCCCCTCCAAGGATGTCACCCTCCACCCTTCAACAGCAGGTGATTCTCCTGGTCTAGTTTATCCCTGGTCTGCAAGGCTGTTCGATGTAGAGCTTATGCTCCGAATTGTTGACGTTTTTTATGCGGGCCCTTGTGGCCTTTTAAAATCATGCACTGAGAAAAAATAAGATCTCTATTTTCTTTTTTTTTTTGACTTTTTTCGTCATTCTGGGCTCGTCAATTTGTTTTTCTCCTCAAAAAGTTCTTTATTCACTACTGATCTGCACCGATGATCAAACATAAATTGTCGTCCTTATTAGGCTGAAAAGAAAATGCCGAGTGTAGGTAGTTTTTGCTTTGTTTTGTATTCAGCTTATGATGGAACTTACTCAACTCTATAATAATCAACATCGTTAGTCACATCACCTGAAGGGCATTCTCTTCCTAGAATTAGGCAAGTTTGGAGCCAAGGGAAGCACTGACCGCCTTCTCGATATCCTTAATTTGTGCGTACCTCTAGCGCATCCAACTCTTATTTCCTGTTAAAGTACAAGTGTAGGCGAAGAATCCTTTGGAATCTTTTTCCAAACTCAATTTGTACATGAAGATTCCATCTGTTAGAAGGTTCTATGAAAAACTAAGATGAAACCCTGAGCCATTGGCCACTCTTGTATCATCAGTTTTTTCAGGTTGTGGTTCCTCATGGTATACTACCTTCTCAAGCTAACTTACCGTTGCGCAGCGTGCTTGCCGCACAACACCAGCTGTCCCAACAGCAATTGCTACAGCAACAACGACAACCGCCTCAAGTTCAAGTGCAACAAGCGCAACCGCAACAACCATTACGTTTGGTATGTAGTTCCTCAACTACTAGCATTCGAAGTGCCTACTTTATAAGTGTTACGTTTCAATTTCTCACAGGCTGGACGTATGGTGGGTACAGCGTCGGGTGCTCTCGCGACACTGTACGATACTGAAAAATCTGCACCAGCCTTGACAAATAAAGATGCTTATCGTATCTTGAAAAGGCGCTTCAAATATCTCGTTTATGTAAGTGAATGCTCGAGTTTCCACAGTATTTTTTGCCTTGACTAAATGTAATATTTCCTTTCTACGATTGTTTGCCTCGATTCTAGAGTACGCTAAATACTTGATTTAAGGAAAACGAATGTTATCAGGAAGAGCTAAGGAATCTGCAAAGGAAGCTGTTGAAATTATCGAGAGACAAAAACTTTCTTCTGGATCGTTTGGGGCAATTTGAAAAGTTTTCGGAGAGTTCGGATGAAGATTCTGATGCAAGCAACAAAACATGCGACGAAAAGCCAAAGCCCAAAAAGTGAGTTTCTTTCTTGTACTCTTTCGTCCTTGGAAAGTCTCACTAAAAGCGCGTTTTGCTAGCGGTCACCCTTCATGAACATATCACTTGTATGCGTCATTGTTGTATCCTTTCAACATGTATTTGTTTCTAGGCGAATCCGTCCATCGCAACGGAAGCGTGCTGCCGACGAAAGCGGAGAGGGAACGAGTGTTGTTAAGCGAGCCGTTGAAGAAAGTAATGCAAGTAGTCCTAGTCCTTCCGAATCTCCTATACTCGATCCTCGATCCACCGCTTTCGTTTCTACAGCACCAGTGCAGCAAACTATGCAGCCATACGTGAGTTTCTTCAAGTTGTTGCTCATTTATCCTTTTGTATTTCGTGTGATGACACGCATTGTTAATGCCTATTTCGCTTCGCTCAACAGAAATTAGCCATATGGCTAACCTTTGTTCTTTTCTTAAACGGATAGAGCAGTCGTAGTGCTTCATCACCACACACGAGCGCAGTTCCCTGCAGTGATTATTAGTGTAATGCGGTGTCACTGCTCAAAGAATTCTAACGCTGATAATGCCAGACTCATTTGAAACAGTCATCCTGTCCCATGAATTAGTGTTTCTTCTTTTCTTTGCGATTCTTGTGGGTATCAACCCCAGAATTGGTCTTTAATTCTTGAATTCTTACTTTTATTTCTTAACTTCATGACTCCCTAATTCCTTTTTTGAAATATTTCATTACGAATAACTACACTAACTAATCGGCTCCATCATCCTCCGGTTCACTTGTTCCTATTTTCCTTTTCTCTTCCTTTTTCGCTTACTCTTTCGCATGCATGTGTTTCTCCTCTTTTCCAATTTGGTCTATACATCCCATCAAAACGTTCTAACTATATTACGCAAGCACTTTTAGTTTCACACGTTGTCACTTACTGAATCATTGCTCTCGCATTTTTCTACAAGATTTCTTTTTTCCACTTCCGCTGCTCTTTGTTCTTGGTAGGTTTGGACATACTTTATCCCTTTCACCTCTTTCTTTCCGTCACTGTTGTGCTGTATTCTTATTCTCCGCTTGTTTCTTTTACTTAAGCGTCAATTCTACCATCGCAGGGTACATGTGTATTTCACTGTCATAGTAAAATCCTACTTTTATGTTCTCATCAGGTATTTACATCTTCTTTCACCTTAAATCTCTTTCTAGCATTTTCTTTTTGTCTTCTAACTTCAGTAGTACTCACATATTCGAACACCTCTAAACAGCTCCTTTTACGTATAGATCCTTTTGGAATGTTCTTTCTAATCTCATGCGCCTTGCAGTCACGTCCCTGGTTCTATTTATTCCGTTTATTTGTATTCTTCAATGATCTAGCTTTCATCCCAATCTATCTCTCTTCCCAGTAGTTCTCGTCATGATTTCGTATTGTTAGCCACCTAATGCCCAAGAACTTCTTCCTGTTGTATGAGTTTCCTTCCATCTGGTGCAGCCTTTGTTTGCCACCAAGGCCTTCTTCTTGAGCGTTTTCTTACTTACAAGTCGGGTCCAATTTCCGATTTTATGACGCACTTCTCCCAAGTAAATGAGTGGTCGGAATGAAGGCCAACTATTTCCAAGTCCTAAACAAAATATCAATAAAGTGTTGCCTTGGTCGTTCCTTACAGTTAGTCCGGTTTCTGGGCACGTCGAGGGTGAGGCTCGATCGCTACTAAAGTATCACTATCACTTGAAGGCCCACTCGGTCGAAGAATACTTAATTGCCTTGTTGTGCTATCAATTATCCTTTCTTAAAGCATCTGTAAAATAAATAGTGCTTGGATAGGATAGCGTTTTGCATTACTTGAACGCTAAACTGCTGTTTTAGTGATGTCATGAGTGTCTGTATCAAGGTGCTTTGATTTACTTGGGAGTTGATAAATACTCAATCCATAGTGTTTTAGAAGCATCAGACTAATCCTATGGCTGCACCATGCGAACGAATGACAGGATCATACACTGTGACTTCACAAGGAGTTGCGGGCGCGCAGCCTCAACAACAAGTTTTACGGTCAACTTTGGCTCGTGTTGTCCCATCGACTATGCTGGCCCAGCAACAATCTGTCCAGCAACCACAATCATCTTCAAGCCGTGCAGTCGTCGATACCCGCCCGATCATGGCTAAAGTCCGAGGTAGTGCCATTATCATTTCATTATGCTCACCTGGTTGCTTAAAAATGGGTTTCAGTTGAATCTACTTCTTTGACAAGTGCACCTACAGTATATCAAAGTGAACAACAAAGGCAAGCTCCGCTTCCTAAAAAGGGTGTACCCAGGGATTCTCTTAGCGCTCAACCACCAAGCACTGAGTTCACTCAAACTTCACAGGAAGGGCTATCCCGTAATCCCCTCAATGGTGATGATCACACGCGTGGGTTTTGTTTTCAGTCTTATTTGTTTTTTGTAATTAGTTCATTTTTGAGTAGCTTATGACTTTCTGAGCAGCTGATAGGTTGGAAGTACTCGCCACTTTTGTCCTTCTAAGATCCATACAAACCCATTCATTTAAGCGTCGTCAATGGATGTCCTTGGTCCATCGGTGTCGATGGCACCGGCTCCCTTGGATCCGTGTCGATCCGCCCATCCTGGTGAATGAATGTTCCTTCCTTGTTATACTACATCTCAATAGTTTTTTGGATGACTGTATTTCTAGGGCCGTCAATGTCATCATACCCCATGCTCAATGGATTGTTGCCTGAAGCCAGTAACGTGGTCGATCCCAAGGAGGAAAGTAATGCTGGTACTATTCTTACCCCAACAACGTCACAATATCGGTGACCATCGTATTTTTGCATAACCTCGCACCGCCTTTTGGCTTTGGTCAGAGCCATTCCTACATATCATAACGTCAGTTTGAACGGTGGTGGATTCATGATTCACCTGGGTTTACTCTAGTCTCGTGATTAGCTGAACGTTTTTGTTGTTCGGAGATCGCTCCTTGTCGTTTGCTTACGTTTTAAATTTTGACGTATTTTTGAATGTCGGTTTTACTCTCAACATATATCACCCGGTATTCTTAATCATACGTTACTCGGCTCAACTAATCGATCTCTGTGAGATCTTGTGATTTTCACAAATTCGTTTTCTATACTGGCAAATTTGCTGAACATAAAATCCAAATTGTTATATTGTACTAATTTTTGCTTATGAAAGTTCTACACATAGATGTTTTTCATTCGTAGAGTGAAATTCGTAAAACTAACATCGTTTTCTTAAAACATAATTGAGTCCATGGTGTAGTGTTTGATCTCCTAGTTTTGTATTTTCTTACTGTGTACAATGTTTTTATTGGTATACGGTTCACTTATTGGAAAAGTTCTCATCGCTTTCAAAAGTGTAACATGTTGTTAACTTTTGTGTTGCAACTGCCTTTTACGGTTGTGTAATGAGTATTGATGATAATGGTGTTTGTTTTTATTTGAAATCGTTCCTATCGAAGGGGGCTACTTCTCATTTTCAAAATCGTTCTGTAATTGCTTATATTCTGAGTCGTTGATGCAACATTCACAGCATACAAATCGTGATTGCCGCGACGCCTGACTACCACGCCTGGCGATCAGTGCTCGAAATAATGGACATGTATTGCTTAGAGGTGGTTTCAGCCTCGTTTTTTCTTCGAGGGAGTTCGAAATATTCCTCATCATCCTACTCCACAAAGTGAGTGTGTGAGCATAAACAGAGCACGAAAAACCGATAAAAGGGATGAAGCGAACAGAAAGATGCAGCTCGTCAGTTAGAGCATAGTGTGCATCAGTTTTCACCGCGGTGACTGATAGTCATGCATAGCGGCAATCACATTTCGAAAGTATATTGCAAGGTATGAACGGAGCCTAAATATCTTCTAGTGGTAGGAAGAAATGTCCACGTCAGCGCCCGCCAAGAAAATCCCGGCCATGTTCCTCCGTGCGCTGAAGAGAAAGGCAGAACCAGTGGTTGCTGGAGAAGTTGAAGGCATTAGTGATGCGGAGAAAAGGCTAAAGCTTGTGGAGCAGAACGAGAAGGTACTTGTCTGAAAGTCGTTTAGTTGTTGTAATTATGACCACTTTGCAGCCTCAGAAGGAAAACATCATTTCCACTGGTAGCTTTACTCTATTCGATCTGTTAACGGAGCGTGAATGGCGCTCGATTTTGAGGAATGAGTTCACAATGAAGTATATGGTTGAGATTGAGACTTTTCTTCGTGCCCAGTACGCTAAGGTATAGTTTGCAATCATTTTTTGTATAATTGCACTGAATTCCTTTGTAAAAACCTCAAGAATGTTTGCCATCGCAAAGCAGGTTGAATAGAAAGCATGGTTCCTACTAGTAGAGGTAATGCGACTACAGCTCGAATGAAGATTATATCATAGTGTGCTTAACTATGAACCTGGTTATAGCCGCCGCTGTTATTGTTCATGATGGGCCAGTGGCCGACTACAGAGCCCTTTCTTGCATATCCAATTGACTATCCTGACTTCGTTCCCCATATCAGGAACATTTTCTCTGTTTTGGCATCTAAGACCATGACCGATTCCTGCCTCTGTCCAGCCTCTGTGCTGTTTTGGAATCAAGTAACAAATCGTTGTAGTAAATTCGCGACACCCTTTTACTGCGGGAGCGCCTCACGCAGCTTCGTACTTTCACGTGCCTTCAACAAAATCTCCACCAGATTTTGCTTGGCTCTAAAGCTTCTTTAGAGCTGAATCATGATTTCGTAAGTTTTTAGAATCACTTCACTGGTTGCTAACTGCTCACTGCGATTCTCCTACATGTCATAGTGAACATCTTTTCTTTCGATAACAATTTTCCTCTCTCGATTGATTATCAGTTTCTTCGATTTCGGAGCTGCTGATTTTCGCGCATGCTCTGCCTATGGGTGGGTTACAACCCAAACTTAGCCGAGGGTCCTGGTATTTTTTCATTTTTAGTATCGTAATAATTTTGTGACTGACACAAACTAACCAGTACTTTGAGTAGCAACTCTAAAGTCACACATTGTTTTTCAGAAAATACCAATATTCCCTCCTCGTGAAGAGATTTTCTCTGCCTTCAACCTGACTCCTTTGAACAAGATTCGTGTTGTTATTATTGGACAGGATCCTTATCATGGTGTTGGGCAGGTACGATTTCCACAGTTTGAACCATATGCAGCTCCGAGATAGTGAAACTTTGAATAATTGCATTTTTCAGGCCCATGGTTTATCGTTTTCGGTGAAAAAAGGAGTCCCACCTCCTCCTTCCCTCAAAAACATCTACAAGGTTTTTTCTATTCCATTCTTTTACTCGCTTTTTTTCAATTGTTTGTTATAATAATATCATGCTTGCGCCCAATAGTTGGTACCATAGAATTATTGTCACTCTGTAGCGTGGGCAGCGATTACCGAGTCGTCTGCATTTAGTGTAATTGTAACATATTTCTTTAGAAATAGAGGGGGCGAAGGGATCATATTCAGCTTCTACTTGCTCTAACCATCTCAATGTGCGAAAGTATAGTAATTTGAAGAGTTGATGCAATTTNGGATTCTACTTTGTGTATACATTTGACATATGATACCATCATCAAAGTCGGCCCCCGAAAATCGTGCTAGGCTATGAGCCTTTATGGAAATAGTTCTCAGGTGTTCAAATAGTTCAGAAGTGTTTAAAGTGTTCCAATAATTTCCGTTTTCCTCAAAGATTTTTCGCTCTGCGTTTCTCAATGACAGCGCCAATCCTGTTATCCGTCTCGACCTAATCAGAAAATCGTTCATCTTTGAAATATCTGTGGAATTGGTTGAGGGAGTGGTTCACACTATGGATGAATTGAAGACACACTTCATCGAGGCCGCTCAATATATTTTTTTAATATTAAAGACTATAATTAGAAAGCGGTAGAACTCGACCGTGGACTAGCTTTTAGCCGCAACTTCTCTTTAATGAAAAGCGTTCCATAAGTTCTTTCATGTTTTTTTGACTTTGAATCGCAGTAGTTCAGGAGCTAAGTGCGGATATTCCCGGTTTCGTTGTTCCCGATCATGGGTTTTTGGAGAAATGGGCCTTGCAAGGAGTATTCATGTTGAACGCTACATTGACTGTGGAGTATGTCACATTAACTTATATTGGCATGAGTGATAAGCTTGAATCTGGTGTAAAACTCCACTTCAGGTCAGGTAAAGCAAATTCGCATGAGAAAATTGGCTGGCAGAAGTTCACTGATAAAGTGATAAGCTTAATCTCTCTCAATAATACTGGAGTAGTGTTCCTATTATGGGGAGGCTTTGCCCGCAAAAAGAAGTCTCTCATCGACTCAAAGAAGCATGCTGTTATCGAGGTATTTACCAGTTTCACATATTTGACGACATCTCTATATCAAACAAATAATTCAGACGGCTCATCCATCTCCACTAAGTGCAAACAAATGGTTCGGGTGTAGATGCTTTTCGAAAACGAATGCTGAGTTGTCTCGCATGGGGAAACCCATCATTGATTGGAGTTCTCTCTGATTCTCTCAGAAGCTAAATTAACTGGATGTTGCCATAAAATGGTCAATTTTAGTTTTTTTCCTGTTGTGCTAATAACTTTATATGTTATCTATACTAATTTTTGGTGAAGTTTGCATCATGACGAATAATTTAAAGGCTTTGACAGTTGACCCTTATGTAATACAGAAATCGATCTGATCTCTTATTGTAGATTATATACCGATCTAGAATCTTCATGTTTGATCCATTTTGATGAGAATGCGCCGGTGTATTTTATTTTGATTTTTCTCTATAATGCCTAGAAGTGCTTGTTTCATTTTGTATCAGTCGGTCCGGGTGCCCTTTGGGTATGATTCTCAACTCACTGCCTCATCATTTGTTTTCCTATGAAGTTTACATGGTGTAGTAATCGTTTTACAGTAGAATTAGCATTGTATAACTGCATAAACATAGATCGATCGCACTTATTGTTATTTCTTTTGTGGTGTTTCAACACTTGTTCTCATACCATCTTTAATTATTTTGTTTTATTTATATTTCCATCGATTCTGTTCCAGTATCCTAACCTCACTACATGATCACAACAGGCGTAACCAACCCAGCTACGGCTACGAGAGGTTTAGCTTTCAGACGCCCATTCTGCTGTACTGAATGCCATCGGAAATTCAAGACCAAGGTGAGTTTTCAATCGGTGAATCAATCTTTTTAATTGGACTAATACTTTAACACTTTGAACATCAAGGTAACCGAGTTCATTTATTGGAATTATTATCGCGTAAGTGATGATGGTCCCCTGCTTAGTCTCAATTTGTCCGTGACCATTTTGACTTCGTCTTTCGGTGTCATTATTCTTTCAACTTTAAAACCATTATAGGATTTTTTTGCAGCGCATAACTGCTGGTCATTTTTTCTGTTTTCAATGCATGTGTTCGCGTTATGAATTTGCCTCGATGTTCCCCCTTTAGGATGAATATCTATTCAAGGATAGTTTATGGCAGATGCAAAAACACTGCCTTTTATAGGTTATCTCTTATGAATCATATAAGCTCTTGTCTATTGTTTGTTTTTTTCAGGAGGAACTCTATATTCATGCGGAAGCATGTGTGATGGAAGCGTTCGAAAGCGAGGTGATCGCTGCTTATAGTGATGTTCCCGGTTTGCGTCAGAACTCCCATATTTTGCCAGAGGAGCCTCATGAAAAAACTGCGGTGCTTCAGAACTCTGCTGCTGGACTTGGGATTACAATAAAGGTACGTTTTTCTTGTATAAGTAGTTTTTATCTCTAATCAGCCGTTCCCTTGTATTTGGAAATCTCACTCGCCACTTGTATTGAGCTTCTGACTTGTGATATCGTTTTGAATTTACCTCAAAGAACAAGGAACAAAGCAGGGGTATCATGTTGTCTGCTCCTCAAAATTCGATTCCTAGACCAAAAATTATATTAAGAAAAATAGAGCTGGTGATTTTTTTTCTATCACTAAAATTACCGAACGTCTCGCAACAAATTTTTATAATGAATTCCTGCACTTCGGATAGACACCGTTTCCTTGCGTCTCTAACAAAAATTGGGCCAGTTTGCAAATTTGCCCCTATTGTTCCATGGACACCTATTTGATATTGTTCCTCTTTGTTAACGCTGCTGATTGGGCTCGTTGTTGTTGCATCATACATATAGTTGTCAATTGGATGGAGTTATGTTTCGAAATGGGGTGAAATTTTATAGGAACAGCAAAAACCGGTGGTTGGGGAAATGTTCAATGTCATTGCCTATTTTCACATCTGATCCTCAATAATACATGGATGTTCAAAACAAGCGATTTACAAAGTTATTTTGCTCAGGATTGTAGAATGATTCACTCACACTTCTTTTTGCAGAAATCGAACACTGTGGAACGCGAAGAGTTTGTAACGTTGAAAGTAGGTGAAGAGGCATCGCAGGACGGCAATTCAGGCACTGTAGACAACAATTTTCCTGAGGCTAAAAGTGATTTGTATCGACCTAAGCTCGTCACTTATAGCAGGTGCTTTTAAATTTCGTATTTACATCGAACTGCCAACTAATCGCGCTTATCAATTGTTTCAGTAAAAATGACGACATAAGCCAAGCCCAAATGCTGGAAGGACCAGGTGGACTAAAACTTGTCGTTTCTGTGGAAAAAGCTACCGAGGTAGGCTGGAGCGGCCATCTTTTTGAGTTTGAACTGCATCAACAGTATTGCTTCCATGCTATTCTGCTCTTCACAATTTCGTTCAATCTAACGATCTTATTGCCAAGGATTTGGAGTCGCCACCGCCGTTGAGCATGGAACAGCATACAGACCCACAAGACATGAGCAGGGAAGCAAATAGCCCAGAAATTGATGGATTTTGGGAGGACGATGGGATGAATGTGGAGAACGATGAGATGGCTGACAGAGAGTTTGGTAAGTTGATGTTGCGCTAGATGTAGAAATATGAGACATTTCCTCATGGTGGCTCAGTCATTCTCAATGCCCTCTACGTTTTTACGCCTACTCTTGATGTAGTTTGGGAATATGCCAAAGGGTACCGGCAACTGGCGTGATGGGGTGATAAAACCCTACAGATCAACCGGTTAGGCGTTTCAGGAATTTCGCTCTGTCCGGGTTTACTGACTAGCATCTTTATTTTATGAATGAAAGATAGAGACTGTGTTTATACCTTGCGACCTTTCAAATCACTGCATGGGTGAATCACCATGCAGAAGTCACAGTGATTCAGGATGGAAGTTTAGTGCGCTTTTAGGAAGCGAGTTTGATCTGCTTCAATTCACCCTTCTTCACTCTCCATGTGCATCACGTTCATTTATTGTCTATCTTGTTTCAGAAGCTGGGACGTCGTTCAATCCAATGACTACTCCTCAGGTCATAGGTGCACTTGCCAATGCTAACGATGATCCATACAAACCCAAAATGGAGTGTCCAACGTGCGGACTGGTACGTACCTTCTAAATCTACTTCATGTTTTAATTCTATCCGTATTTTTGTTGGCAAAAATGACTTTTATACACTTATTTGAAGCTTTTGATTATTATTTGTCAATGTTTTTTTAATCACGCTTCCAATAGATTCTCATCAGCTTATTATTTTTGTTTCATGATTCCAGCTATAACTTGCTTCTGTCTTGTTCAGATCCTCTATCGTCATAATTTTTCGACTCACTATCGAATCCACACCGGCGAATTACCATTTGCTTGTGAATATTGTTCAAAGAGGTTTAGGTCAGTTACATGTCATCGTTGCTTCTTGGTTTTTATACAGTAGCAAGACTTTTGGTTAACCTTATCGTTTTTTTTTTGGTCTAGCGTTTGTAATTGTAACTTTTTAACTTTGCATTTTGCTATTTAAGGACTAGTTCATCTCTCAAAGTTCACATACGAGCACATACTGGTGAGAAGCCCTACATATGCCCATCTTGCGGTTATTCAACGATAACAAAACGGAATCTTGATCGTCACATTGAAAACCATCACGTTCGAACAGGAGGATCCAAAGGTCCAGCGACGAGGAGGAGCAGGTAAGGGATTTTAAAGGCTGTATATCTTCTGGTTCTCCAAGAGTTAACCTTCGAGTCCCAGGTACCGAGAAAGCATAGACATGGAGTGGGTGGAGGACGTTGGATCACATGTGGTTTCTCAGTATGCCCGACACTATGACGAGAATGCTGAGGTTTGCAGTGTTTTTCTTCACTTCAGTTTTGAACTGTAGGGTTGCTTTTTATTGTGAAAATGCATGCAAAAGGTATTCACATTCAGAATGTATCGGGATGGCATAAGAGTGCTGGATCGAATCCACAAGAGTCGTCAACGTTATGACAGCGTGAAACCATATTACTGGTTATTGTGCACCTGTCTGTGATATTTCATGCACAATAAACGTCTTTTGAAGGAAAATTAAGTCTACCTTCGTCATTCTTTGGCGTCGTTAAAACCCTCTCCCATATTTTCTTTGACAACAGCACAAATATGACCCTAGCCATTATTTTTTCATAATCGTATCCTAGGTGGTAGGGTATACGATTCACAGTTGTTCTTCTCTGATTCGTTCGCTCGGAATGAGGAAGGTGCTGTGTGTCGCAGAGAAGAACGATGTTGCAAAAGGAGTTGCTTCGATACTATCAAAAGGTTGCATTTCTTTTGAATACTTAGTTTAACTAATCTGTGCTACTATTATATAAAAGTAGTAGTGAAGTAGTATATCTGAGTATAGCTGGTTCATGGATGGGGTTCGATTCAACATTTCAATTGCTATCTTTCACAGATCTCCGGGGAACAGTTTTTGCTGGGAGCAACTAAGGATTTCTCCCTTATGCGATTTCAGTGGTGATTTCCTTTGGTTTTGGATGAACAGGAAAAACATCGCTAACAACAACAAATAACAACGACAAATAGAAAACAGCAAGCAGTGGATGCAAAGTGTTCTGTTCGGAATGGAAGGTGTATGCGTGGCGCACTGCGAGGGCACTGCCACCGAACCATCAATTTTTTAAAGGGAAAAAGCTGATAGATTCATATATCTACGATTCATACAGGTTTTTGGGATGAGCTCACAGAATACAGATGTATTTAAAAAATTTTCCATTCAGGAAAGCAAAAAAACAAGAAAAAATTAAAATAATTAAAAAAAGAAGTAAATAAAATAAATTAATCAAAATAAAAATAATAATAATAAAATTTAGAAAATGTAGATAAGCCGTTGTATTGCAAAAAAGATGGAAGTTGTAATGTTGCTTACTTAATTATCAGAGAATTCGATTTCGGCAATAAGGTTTTTTGAATTTTCATACAAAAAAAATTTGGTTGGATCATGTGGGACATGCGTTTCATGGGAGTTCGTGGGAAACCAGGATGCGAACATTTTTGATAAAGTACATATGAACTATGCCAGATGGGAGGCTTGAAAAGTCTGGAAGTCGCAGTTTCTAGGGGATTCTTATGCGGTGAACTGAGGGGTTGCAGGTTCCACCTATCTTCACTTCTATGAATGAGATACCGAAGAGATGGGCAGATAGTGATGCTTTTTTTGGTCGAAAAATCCGACAATGCGATAGTTCTGCAATAGTGTTTACAGTCTTGAATTCAGTTCATGGACTTTTGGATATTTTTATGTATAGTAGTGGGACGTGTCAGTGTGGATGTACTTTGAGAGCATACTTTTTATATTGTTCGTCAATTGAGCGTAATTGACAGCTATTTATCGCTCCAGCGTAGTTGAACAATTTAATGAAAATGAAAATGGGCAGGGATGTAAAGGGTAAAGTAGACATGGAACTTTGAAGAGGATCTCTAAACTTTTTCGGTATCGTTGTCGGATTAGTAGGAAAGATAGCCGCAATGAAAATGACGGGAATTCAAGATCGGTAGATTGTGAATGAAAATATCTCATCTTCAAGAAAATGTGCAAGTCATATTACCTCAGAAAGTGTAAAGAATTATACTGTAGAGAAGTTTTGTATTTGCGCCTACCAAACTACCAAAAGTGAGATGGTGTTCAAAGCAAATCATTGTATGTATTCGCCTTGTACGCATTCAGTTGCACTACGCTTACGAGCGGAAGTCGGAAGCGCGGCGCATCCCAAACATAATGAATCTACTGGACGTGCGTCTACTGGAAGCACACGACTGCGCATGCAATAAATCAATTATTGCTCTAGTCTTTTTACCGATACAACCAAACCAATGCGTTGATTTTAGTTTACATCTTACAGCTTTCATCACTGTCTTCACGTTCCGCAAGTGCAGCACCTAAGAATCCAGCAGATCAGCTTCACGCAATCGTTGCTGATTTCTATAATCGCTATCCAGTCACAAGAAAACCAAATAAGATTATTGGGTATCGGCATTCAGTAAAATTAACAAATAATACTACCCGAGAGTCAAAAAACCCACTAAGGAGCAAAGGATTAGAACATATTAAAGTAGGTGGAATAGTTGACCAATCTTCTAGAAACAGTAGGGGTAAAGCCTTAGGCTATACTGATCCCGTTTGTGGGATGCGCCCCACATTCGACTTCCATTCAGAATTGTAGTGATGACTTGAATGCGTACGTGGCATATTCAATGACTTGCGGTGGCCAGTCGATGTACAAGTCAGTGTTTTTATCCTCCCACACGATACCATACACGATACTAATTGACCGACCTAGAGAGTTGGTAAACTCGGTTCGCCTGAGCGGATATCGATCAGGGATTGGATCTCAGAACCATGCATTTGTGCTAGTGCGCCTCTCACCTCTACACCACTTCTGCCTTTTCAAATAACAAAAAATAACAGCAATTAAATGGACAACTGCAAGGTAAAAATCAGAAGTAAATGAAAAACATGACTAATAATGGTGAAGAAAAATTCTATAAGCTTCAGTCAAGGGCATAAACCCTCCATTATCGAAAATATGCCACGGCTCAAAGCAAACCTCCTGTTAAATGTAGGAAATTCGGAAGAAATCTGTCAAAAGGAGTGCGGTTTTGGCAAGTTTTTTAGAGCAAGCTTGGTAGGGTGTTCGGTATGTTGTACCCCTAGAAGTGTTATACCCTCCCCTACCGTTCTGTATAGCATTGTGTGGCGATTCCTCTTTTGCATCTTTAAACGACTTTTATCATGGTTAATGTATAGGTCAGATGGTCCGCCGGGAGGGTCGATCCGTTTACAACAAAATATATCAGCTGGATGCAGAAATCCTTGGGCAGGTTCGTGTTTCTCATTTCATGTTAGGGACTTCCACGAGTTCGTAGAATAGATACTGTTGTAGAGGGCATCTCTGTCGATTACCAGCGTATCTGGTCACCTCATGGAACATGCTTTCGGACCGGAGATGAAAAACTGGACTGTAACTTTGTTTTACCTTTTTAACTCATTCGCTTTGAATCAAAGAGATTATTCCATATTTCTCTTGTATAAGGGACTGATTATTTATTAATCAGTCTGCTATTGTTTTGAAGGGATGTTAAGGAATGCTCGATCCCTTTTCAGACTGTGCCGATCGGTACGCTATTCGATGCGCCAATATACAGCGTAATCCCAGATGGGATGAAGAATATTGCCAGGACGTTGAAGTGGGTTCGCCCAGTTTTCTTTTAGCCATTAAGTGTACCGAGCTCTCACTTGCAATTAGGTATAATTCCGAATGGTACAAACCTAACGGTGATATATGATTGAAGAAAGGCCATGCTCACTGGTTTGTTGCAGTAGAGGTAGCACTCGTTGGACTACCCGGCTTAGCCTGTTCCCGTGACGTCCTCTGGTACCCTGTCTGTTGGAGAATGGACTACTTATAAGGTATTCTGTGCTGAAATCGTTCACGATGCTGGATTTCGCATTCATACTCGCTACCTTCGACAATATTTCCGATCAGTCGACTGATGATCTCTAGTGTAACCACTGTCTATGTTTACAGCTTCTCTCGTAATTTCGTACTCCAGTTGTCAGCGCAAAAATCGACAATTTTAATCGACTTCAACTGAATTGTTTATATGATTTCGAAGGTCTTGTTCTTGGGGGATTCGATCAAAGGTCCTCTAGAGGACGGCTACCAAGCCTTTTGGTAAGCAAGTTTATGGGGAGTGTCCTGCTCAGTGCACTTTTTTCCCTGGGATTTGGATCATCATTCCTACTTACAATTAGACGAGTCTTCCATTGATTTTGTGAACTGAAAGACGATAGACAGACAGATAGACAGACAGACAGATAGACAGACAGACGGACAGAAGACGGACAGACGGACAGACAGACAGACAGACAGATGGACAGGCATACAGACGGAAAAACAGACACGCATACCAACTTCTGAATTATATATCTCGGGTATTCATACCGTACGCCCTTGTGTCCGTTATTTTGAAGGCACATTTCGCAACAGGCTATACGCTAGGGCTGCTCCGACTCTCCCCTTCTCTTAATGGTGAATTCCTTTTTAAGCTGACTGAGCATCGCGGTGAGCGTAGGGCATCTTGCGAAATTCTAGGCATTTCACTCCTAGTTTTGTTCGGGGCAGTTGACATAATCTGTCTTGCGAACCGCTCCATGTTAGCTCTGAAGGGGAATATCTTACAAAGTTTGTAATGCATTCTACCTTTTAATACTTTGGGTAAAGGATTTGGTGGTCCCGTTTGTCAGATCGCTTCATAATTTTGTGCATAGTAACATTTCGCAATTCTCTCCTAGGAGAGGGAATACTCTTGACAAGTAATCGGCCAGTTTCAGACAGTGAGTGTGTAGGTAAAATTAAGCAGGTTTAGTCCTTGCACAGCTATTTGACTCAAAGTCTAACGTTGAGAGTAATCCAGAAAGATTCTTCCCAAAGAGGGTAGAGCATGGTTACAATGCTCGGCCATGATTTGAACTCGAACCCATCCTTATGTTTTCTTTGCATAGTAGTCATTATCATTTACTCTTCCGAGTACCACTGGCATACTCCTTTTTGCCTGCTTGGAGTGAATGCACTTCATCGCCTTTGCTTATTCGAACATTACAACTTGCAGCGAAGACGCCGTATCAGTCATGCTATAAAAATCTCCTTAAGTCGTTATCAGTCCATCATCCCTCATCGAAATGCCGAAAAGAACATATCGAGGTCCTCTGTCGGATTGAAAATTCAGAGTGAGGGATCAACAGTTTCCAGAAAAGAAAACTTTGTTCTTCAGAAAGAGAGTTGAATCAAGAATAACATGCTCGTGCATATTTTCTACCATTTCAGTCATGTCTTTCCTCCTCTCTTCCTTCCTTGTCGCATTCAGTGAGCTTTCCATTCTTTCGTGAGAAAGGCTTCTGCAATGTACGCTGCCGAGCGATCGCTAAGGTCGAGAAGTGCTCATTGAGAGGAATCACTTTTGGAATGAGCGGTTTCCCAGGACCTTTACGTACAATCGGTCCCACCTATCGCTTGTCTCCGAAACAAGTTCACTGAAGCTTATTACCGTATACAACCAAAACTTAATCGGGGAGATTAGTCTGTAGAGACATTGAAACAAGAGTCTTTATGTTTCCGTCAAACAAAAGTTTAGTCCTTAACTGAGAGGTTTGTATTTCATGAGGGATTTCATAAGAGGGTAATGTTACCTGGAGCTTTCTGCATCTGCGTCTCTATACGAATTGTACTTTTTGGCATGATTCATACAAATTTTACTGGAAAATTTCTTTTAAAGGGAAGAATCGGCAAAAAGTGATGTACTGGTGATCTGGACCGATTGTGATCGCGAGGGTGAGAGTATCGGAGCTGAGATTGCGAAGGTATGCTTGGAAACCAATCGACAGATTGATGTCTATCGTGCTAAGTGAGTCTTTGATCTTTCGAGCTTTTCTTTAGAGTTTTTCCTCTGGGATTTTTCTCAAGCTTCTTTTGGCTCACTTTACCTCTCATACATTCTTTCAGATTCTCTGAGATAACTCCACGTGCCATTGAGAATGCTGCACGTCATCTCACCAGGTTAGATCAGAAAGTTGTAGATGCGGTCGATTGTCGCTCTCAACTGGATTTGAGAATAGGTAGGGATCTGATTCGCTTGAGCCTTGGCAGCAAGGAGGCACTGGTTTCGAAGTGAATTTTTCGAAATAGCAAAGGCTTCTCTGTCCCACATTTGAAAGACTTAGGCTTTACTCGCATTCGGGTTCAGGCAATGTTACCATACTTCTTCCGTAGAGTTACTACTTTTTCATAGGGTAGCTCAGGTCTAGCCTGATACGTTCTACTGGTAAAAAATCAAATCCGAGGTTTAATCCTAGGAGCTCATCTTAATGCCGATGTTTCTCTTACCGATCATCTAGCTCTGAAGTCGCTCTATTCAAAATCAAAATGTTCATCGTAGATGAAAGAGTGGTTACTGAGAGGCTGAGAGAGAGTCAATACCTTTTTTTCACTGAAACCATGCGTCATCTTCTTCGAAAGGAATGGATCATCAGGCGGGGCTTCTAAGTCTTACCGGAATAAATAGGGTTTTGGCCACTACTGTCCACAACGAAGTTCAGTAAAAATTTGTAAAATCTACTGCTAGTGGATGGTTTCACCTTTTCCCTGAATATGCTTGAGAGAAAAGGAGTTGTTATGGTTAGTAACTGACAATTTGTTAAGTTTCGTCTTTTATTCTGATGAACTAGGACAACAGGCGATCAGAACTCACGTCGGATACTCACTGGGACTCTCCCAAATTTATGCCTTTTTCCTACAGTACCTAAGAGTTAGCCGTGAAACTGTAAAACAGTGTTTAGTTCTGATCACAAGCATTACCCGTTTGATGATCGAAATCTATGAAAAAATGCTATTCGTTGTGAGTTACCCACCTGGTTATATTACGGTAATAGTCTCGTACCGTAATATGGGACATGTTATGGTATGAAATGAAAATGATATTTAAGTCGGAAAAATTAGCTTGATGAGCCCTGAACAGACCGTAGACGAAAAACGTTACTCATCAAGCTCTACTGTTAAGGTGCAGCCTTCACTCGTTTACAGACTCTGCATCTGCAAGAACGGTTTGCTAGCCTTTTGGCTGTCCCTGATGGTAAGAGTTCCCCTTTGCTCTCTAAGTAAACCTCTTTTCTTCCTTTAATGACTTACTAAATGGTATAAGCATTTTCGGTAAACGAGTCGTCAGCTATGGTTCATGTCAATTTCCAACGCTTGGATTTGTTGTGGAACGATACAAAGCAATTGAAAGATTTGTCGTTGAAACATTTTGGAAACTCGTTGTTGAACACAAGAGGGAAGACAAAAAGGTAGTCTTTAATAGCTCATCTTTATTTAATTTCAATAGCTGTGTATGTCAAGAGAATGTACTTGGTACACGTAATTGGGAAAGTCACGAAGTGTCTAACCGTGAGTGAAGGGGCTATTTCTTTAGGTCATATTGAACCACTAGGGAAGCTAGGAGTGAACTCATGTCATGATGGCCCGAATGGGTCTCAGAAGGGGTAGGTGCATGTCCAGGAAAGCTGTTTATCGATCAGTGGACTATTGACATGAAACCATTTTCGAGGTGCTACGGTAGAAGCAAAGACGGTCGGGATGGACAAAATAGTGTGGCAAGTTAGTAAGGCCGTTTCGGGAGGCTGATGGCTCAAACCGTCCGCCATGGGACAGGAGCTAGAGGATTGAAGAAGCAGTTTGCAGTAGGGGAGCTTTACATTTTAATTACTCAGTAATGGGGAGGACAAATGCTTAGGTGTGGGAGTGGTACTCAGCTCGTTTATACCTCAAAAATTCTCGTTGATATGTCGTAGAACAGTTCGAGGGGTTCTGAAAAGTATTCGTGGCTTCCGAAGTTTTATTTTGTTGTTCAGGCCGAATTCACCTGGGATCGTGTACGTCTGTTCGATCAGGATATCGTCCAGGTTTGATTGAACTTCTTCCCAGCGAGATCTTTTTACTTGGTCATTTCCCAATCAGATCCTATATGACGACTGTATGGAAGCTAGAGCTGCAAAGATCGAAACCGTTACCAGTAAACCGAAAACGAATTATCGACCGCAAGTTTGTTCTACCATCATTTCTGTACCTACCTCTAATTGGATAGTTATACGAGAATACTGTATAGCCGTTGGATACCGTACAACTGGAGAAATTGGCTGTTCGAAAACTGAGGATGAGTGCTAAGCAAGCCATGGATATAGCCGAAAAACTCTATAACAAAGGTTATATTTCTTATCCAAGGTAGTTTCTTTACTAGTTACCGCCCTATTTAAATTTTACTGTCCGTACAGGCTTGCCCTTGAAGACTATATCTGCCACACCTCTTTCTTTAAGCGGACGAAACTGGCGAGTTGAATCCTTTCTACCCTTTCAGAACGGAAACGAACAAATTTCCCAAGAATATGGACTTATCAGCCCTGGTGAGACAACAGACGACTTCTCCCAAATGGGGTGACTTTGCAGCTGAGGCAGGTGTTATTTGCACGACATCTTCGGTGTTGAGTGCATGCCTCTCTTCTCACTTTCTCAGCTGAGACTCACTTGTAGGTATTGGAACACGGTCCCAATCCTCGGAATGGCACGAAGTCGGACGAAGCTCATCCGCCGATTCATCCACTGAAACATGTTGCTGAGTACGTGACGCCTTCTATCCTAAGACAATTCGTAACTTCAAGTGATTCTTGACTTTGGTTTAAGCGGAACACTACAAGGCAACGATTGGCGACTATATGAACTGGTTGTACGTCACTTCTTGGCATGTATTTCGTGGGATGCCAAGGGCCAGGAAACTCGCGTCGGGGTACGTTTGTTGCACCCTCCTCTGTTCTTCGAGCTATGTTTTGTTATTTATAGATGCGAATTGGAGGAGAGACGTTCCATGCCACTGGCCTTTGTGTACAGGATCTAGGTGAGAAGTTACGAACTGTTCAGTCTGAAAGTTCAGAGCCATATTTTAATTCCACAGTCGCTCTTTCTGCTTCCCAATTCCTGAAAAATAGACAAAAGCCAAAAATCAGAAAAGAGAGCGTCAAGTCTTGAAACTCTTAAGTTACTGCTCCCACATTTTCATTCGGGGATCCCTCAAGGTTTTATAATCGTATCTGTCTGTCATTCATAGTGTTGAGAAATATGAGTAGAACAAGTGTAGCCGCGAGCGGATGCGAAGCGGCGCTGGATTTGCCCGAGTGTTGAGACTAGTTTTCCCATTCAACCCGTTATTAGTTCACCTCATTTGTTTCAAGAACTAAAAGGTAGTAAAGGGCGTCCGGAGAAGGCGGGGCGATGCGTTCGCGAACGTCAGCGTTTACTACCGGCGCTTTACCTCATTTTTTCAGGGATGCGATTCATTTTTTATCGATTTGTTTGATTCAGGATATTTACGGGTATATATTTACGACAAATGGGGTAGCAAAGTGTTACCGATTTATATGGAAGGAGAAGAGCTCACTGATTATCGTCTTCGAATAGCAGATGGGCAAACACAGCCACCTGAACTACTTAATGAAGGTCTCTACTGCTTTCCAAGCCTAGGGCAGTGGGCCTGATCAGTAGGCTTACTGTAGGCGCTCAATAGCATCTTCCTTATAAACACTCCCAAATGATCGGATCCACTGCCTTCAAGATAGGAGGATTCGTTGTAATAACGGACCTATGTAAAATACTTCTCTTTCTTCCAGCCGACTTAATCGCCCTGATGGATAAATATGGTATTGGTACTGATGCAACACATGCTGAACATATTGAGAAGATTAAGGTTTGTTAAAGGGAATGCTTTTGTGGTGTCTGCATAGCTTTGAATGTCGAATTTTTGGTTTTTCATTCCAATATCTTTAGACAAGGCAGTATGTGGGCGTTCGTGACGATGGGCGTTTTATTCCCGGATTTCTCGGTCTCGCTCTCGTCGACGGCTATGATGCTATGGGTTCGTTTCCTATATAGATACATTGAACTATCCTGTTCTCAACCTGGAAGAGGGCTCCTAAGGAATCCTAACACTAGTTTTAGCACAAGAGTAATCTTGAGATTAAACGAGGCTGCATCGACGGGATTTTGGTTGTCGCGTTTGATCCGTTCTTGATAGGGAGGGATGGGTTTCAGATATGTTCTGATAGATCGTTTGGGAAAAGACGGGTGCAAAACGGGTTAAGCGGGCAGTTTCGAATGTTATATGGAAACGATACAGCTAGAGGGGCATTGCCATACATGCGAATACGGAATTACTTTCATGTACTTGAGTGACGGCTGTATTTCTTGGAGTTCATTCAATGGCAGCGAAACCGCTCGCGTCTGATACCTTACGGTTTTGAATGGAAGTCAAATACATGGTGTATTTCCTAAGCAAACATGCTAGTGCCAAATATTTTAAGATTTCTGAGTGTTTAATTTAGAATTCCGGCTTATCTAAGTCCATGATTCTCAACATTACACGCTCCTTGGTAATTCATAATCCCTGGAACAATTCGTTTCAAAAGTTGAGGAACACTTACCACTTGCTCCTAAAGTTTACCTAACACGTCCAATGTATCGTTTGGGATGGTTCACCAAAACTTGTGACAAAGCAGTGATTCCTGTAGGTGACAACAATAGCGCAAAAAAATGTAAGGTCCAGCAGGAGGGAACGGAGCAGATCATGTTTTTTCTTTCTTTCACTCTCTTTGTCCCGTTTTTCATTATTCGTCAAGTTAGGAATTTTTTATGACGGTACCAGTCGTAGCGAATGATCGAGATTTCCTTCTAGGTTACGCCATGAGTAAACCGCAATTGAGAGCAGATTTGGAACGCCAACTGCAGGCCATATGTGCTGGAGAGCGTACGAAACAGGAGGCAAGCGCTTTCAGTGTTCCCTTGCATACATTCATCTCCCCAGTTTTTTATTTCTTATTGCACATATGGCTCAAGTGAGGTTTTTCTAGGTGCTAACCGAACAGTTGGAAAAATATCGACGAATTTTCGTTCAAACCGAAGCAAAGGTCAATCTCCTTTCCGAGGCCTTCGCCAGGTGCGGGTTTATTTTAGCAATATAGTATTGTAATGAATGGACAGAGATTTGTTTTGCTCTCAGAATTTACCTTTTATTTTCCTTGTTTATAAGGGATTCCCCCATCTATGAAATCCCTAGCATCTCCATCTGGGGATTGATAGGGCAGGTGCTCGTCATTGACCATATTAGCAGAACATGACATAAGTTCGACATTCAGTTGTGGTCAGTGGGGTATTTAAAAGTCTGTTCGAGTAACTAAATGTTACGAGGCCCAGCCTTACTGGTTTCGAGCCAGATTTTAACCCTAAGCCAGCCTATACTGGTTTGTGTGTGAAGGTAGAGTAATGGCAAGTGATGCTCTGCCGCACACGCATGTTTAGAAGGTTTGAGTCTCAGATTGATACTCGTCTTGGTCCCATCCATCCCTCCAGGGTCGGACAGTGGAACTGGTCTGGGAGGAAAAAACACGGACTTGTACATCGGCTGGCCACTGCATCTCTCTGTATAGGCTACATACGAATACAAAGCGTACCAAAAGCTCAGATGGAAGTCGAATGCGGGTGCATCCCAGATAACGGGTTGTTTGACGCCAAAATTCTAATCCTTTATCCTTATACTAGTTTGTTATCTCAAAATAGGCGGCTACGCACCCTCTCGCGCGCGCTAGGGGCTCTAGCCATGAGAGACGGAGCCGCATGAGCTGATTTTCATTATAGACCTTTATCGGATTTATGAGTTTCCGCTCAAACCTCGCCTCTTGTGGGCGGAGTCTGGTCCTGCCACCCACCATAAGTGTTCCCATCCTGTCGCCTGTACTCCTACCACGTTTGAACTCTTTAGGTCTATGGGGACAGGAGTTATGAGTTTTCGCACAAACCCCGCCCCTTGTGGGCGGAGTCTGGTTCTGCCACCTACCATAAGTTTTGCCTCCATGGCGCCTGTACCCCTACCAAGTTTGAACTTTCTCGGTCCATGGGGACGGGAGTTATGAATTTCCGCACAAACCCCGCCCCTTGTGGGCGGAGTTTGGTTCTGCCACCCACCATGAGTTTTGCCTCCATGACGTCTGTACTCCTACCAAATTTGAACCCTCTACGTCCATGGGAACCGGAATTATGGATTTTCGTATATAAATGTTAGAAGGCATGTGAGCTTCGAGG